ACTCATGCTCCTCTCATTGTCCCCTGGCAATGACAGTTAATCTCTTATGTTACATTATGATTTATTAATGACTTCCTTTGAGTTTCCTTGAAAAAAAGTGTGTAATTTTGTTTTAAATTATTGCCTTAAAAATTGATATTTACTTGAAAGAAACATTCAAGTTAAATCTGAGTGAATTTTCAATCTTTTTTATAATAGACCATTACTATATAATAGATTATTTATTCTCTCTATCGGTTGAATTCTATGCCCGTCTGAAGATAAACTTCACATCTTTACATTCTCTGCTGAAATGTAATGTACTTTCTCTCTCAAGGTTTGCAGTAAGTTTGAATTGGTGAATTAAAAGTGTGCTAATTGTACTAATACTAATAACAGTGTCTCTACTAAATGATACCCAACTAAACCAAAAAAAAACACGGAAAGTTGAATATATGAGATAATCAGATAAACCAAGAATGAAAGTTTAAGGAAGAAGAAAATTGGAAAAAAAAAGAAAAGCACAAAGATGGCAGAAGCGACACAACTAGGTTTCATGGTAAAATGAATCCTTTAGTAATAGAAATTCTCCTGTAACAAGTAAATCTACCTGCTGAACACATACAGTTCGATGTGGTCGGACAGATCCCTGAACAAAATATAAACCAACAAAGAGAGCAATTTACTCCTCATTTTACCTAAAAGAAGCAGTTGTTTTTAACCAACACAGATAAAAACACCAAAAACAAACACTGGAATAAGCCAAATCAGGAGGGCAGGAAGAAAAAACCAGGAGTAGGGGATAATCAGAGGTATAAAAGATGAACAAAGACACTTTTTACTCTCTGAAAAGACAAGTGGTTATGTAGAAAAAGCACGTATCCAGTCTGGTTTACCACACAGTGGAAAGGCATGAACAACATGCAGGAACGCTCGCAGGACAATAGAGCATTATTGAATAGCCTAGAGACGGCTCATCATTGGAGTCCTGATGAAATTATAAACACAGTTCAATTACACCTGGTTGTATCATTTAGGCGAAATGAAAACGGCAGCGTTGGGCCAGCACTTGGCTCCGCGAAACAACACTGGGGTGATGCATACGAGCGCACAGCCCCGCAAACTACTACGTAATTAAATTTAGCCCTGCGGGACTCCATTAATAACTTATAATATAATGCACATTTCATTGGACGGGGCCATAAGATGTGGGTGTGTTATTACGCTCTGGAGGAAGCCCCTTCTGCGCTGTCTTTGCGCTCATAACGGTGAGCGAGAAAGTAGCATAAATCAGATGAGGCAGTTTCTGTGTTATGATTCCTTAATAATAGCGCTTGTAATTAGCTCTTGAAAATACAGAGGTTTTTTTAATGAAGTCAACCAAACATGGAAGAGTTAGCAAAGTTCATGAATCAGAGAAGACTGTGGAGCTTGCAGGATTCTGTGCATGTTCTAGTGTGTGTGTGTGTGTGTGTGTGTGCACGTACATGCCTGAGGGTGACCAGCTGACCTTTGACTCCTCTAGCTGAGCATTCATTAACTCGATGGCTGACGCACTCTTTTGAGTGTGCTGTAATTACAGAAAGGCTAATTGCTGGCGTCACACAGATAATGATACATTCTCACCCCAATGCTTCAGAAGTCAGTGCTCCCGAGCTTCAAACTATGGCGCTCTACGTACCCCTCTAGTGTCACTTTTGGCAGGTGTCGGGGATGGGGGTGTTCATAGACGGTTGTCACATGCATAGTTTATCTTCAAAATAATCAGGAGTTAGGTTTAGGCAACAAAAGCACTTAGTTAAGTTAAGGAAAAGAGCATACTTACTTTTAGGAGATAAACAGCGACCTGTTTGACCTGTCTGCCCTGCTGTCTGCCCTGTGTGGACTATCTTGCACTGTATACTACATCAGTTGCTATTAGTGCTTAATAAGGAAGCGGCTGTCCAAACAAAGTGGACTGTGAAGAAGCAAGAAGAGAAAAAGTGTTACCGGCAAAACTCATAAACTAACGTCCTCAATGCCGAGTAGGGGATTGCAATTAACTGTGAACTCCTCTATCTCAAACCCATGGACCACTTTATTGCTTTTATACACGCCCTATAAAAGAAAGGAGTCAAGTATTAAATGCATTATAATGAAACAAAGGTTGAATATCCTGTAAACAATCTGATTTGGCTGGTAGAAAATATACTCAAATGTAGATTTTTAAGACCTCCTGGCTGTAAAGCGTTTAAAAAAACGAATTTGCCGTCTTTGTAAAACCCTCAGGCATGTTAATGGTTTTATCAGTGAACTATTTGTGACACAGACAGACACACACACGCACATATGCACAATGATTGCTTTTTTTGACCCTCACACTGTTACCAACAGGTCACTGCTTTTGACTCTTTAAGAAGGCGTGAGATCACAATAAAATGTCACCTGATCATATCATGGATTAAACACAGTCGAGGGATTTCACAGGAGTGCTGACAGAGAGCCGAGTGCCTTTTATGAGAGCTTTGAACGTCTGGTCTGGATGCTACAACACAACATGCGGACGTTCTTCTTCTCCATGTTCTCTCTTTCCTGCTACAACACCTTTCTTTGTCATATGGAGACATTCATTCATTTATTTGTGCATTAAATCAATCGCCAGCAGCCCCCTCCGCAAATATCATTAGAATAATAAATGATATAGGCTTTAATATAACTCCACTTTTTCAAGTTCTCTCTGAGGCCAACAACTCCGGTCTTCCACAATGCATAAACGGAATTACCTTTCTGTAGTAATTGTGAAAACAAATGAGCACACAGAGAAAGCTCTTCCTCAGGAAGACCAACGAAAAAGGATCTCTCTACCAAACACGTCACAACGTGCTTTGAATAAAAACAATGCGATTTAAAAAAAAAAACTTAAAGGCACGTAGAATCAAATAAATAGAGATGATTAAACAAATGAGACACCCTACGTAGTGCTACTCTATTTTTGGGTAGGAGGCAATAAAGACCCATGCCACATGGTTTCTTGAGAGGTAAACCTGCTCGCTCTAATGACGTTTGGATATAGGAATAGTTGGTCAAGAGACACATCTTGCACACTGTTCGTCTGCTCATGCAGGCTTAGAAGCAAAGAGAGTTGTTGTTGAATATATTCTTTTTAACGTTGTATATCCCACAATGGGAGCGTGTAGCCGGTTTGTGGTAACCAACAACTCAACAATGTTTTTCTTTCGTTGTGTTTTTGGGAGGTTCTTCTTATTCTTTCTTTTTTTGTAAACAAAATGTGACAACAGAGTGACAATATATGTCATTTATAAAGCCAGATTAAGGTCATTTTTACTTGACGCTGCCTTAAAGTTTTACTAAAATTAAATATAGATATATTCTACTTCGGTATAAATGTCATTTTATTCATGATGCTACCCCAGAAGATGTCGTGTATGAACTTCATTTTAGATAAAGAAATGAAGGTATATTATAATTGACAGTCCTGCAGTTGCTGTTTACTGATTATATTGTCCAACACTTGCACCACGCTCTTCCCATGAGCCTGAAACCGTCACTCACCTCCCACCCACCATCGCTCTGTTCACCATCTCTTTCTTGAATACTGGTGTGTGTGTTTGTGTGTGTGTGTGTGTGTGTGTGATTGTGTGTGTGTTCAGTGGCTCCTCGTAAGAAAACAAATCATGTAATCAGTAGCTACATTATTCAGACGGGAGGCAAGGTCAACCTTACGGGGCTGTTTACGGCCCCTGCCGTGTGAGGGATTCATTGCCGGAGGAGAGGATGGTAACAACAACAGTATGCTGCAATCACGGTGAAAACAAACTCAGAACAAACAGCTGCCCGGAAGACTAACAATAAACTCATTAAACTGAAACTAAATGTAATAGTACATTGAGGTATTTGGGTAATTTGAGAACAGCTAATGACCAATACGTTTGACAATTTTATCCCCCTAATGTTTATTGTCATAAAACATTTTACCATCCTTTAACCACCATTTACAGATGGTGGTTAAAGGAAACGGTCTGCGTTATAGCCGAGATGTTACAGCGTATGCCACATTACTGCAAAGTCCCGGGTTCGATTCCAGCCTTGGGCCCTTAGTTGCATGTCTTATCCCTCATGTCTCTGTCTCTACACTGTCATATTAAAGCAAAGCTGGCAAAAAACTACATCATCTTTGAATTAGTTTAATAATACAAGCTGTTTCCGTTTCAGTAACCTTAGCGTGGTTGATGATTAGCGCTGACCGTGACCTCACTGATTTTAATGAGCTTCAATTGTGCACGACATTAAGCTAATAGGCTATAATTTGTAGCAATCAGCTTCTGTGAAAGAAGAAAAAAATAAATAAAAGCACACCATAAACACGGTTTGCCAATCGAGATCTAATCACGCACTTCACAATAATGTTTGCAGAAAGCTAATATCTTTAAAAATATAAGAAATAAATCCGCCCTGTTTAATGAGCTAATTGATTAGTCATCCGTTTTTATGCTCTGCCACTTCCCAGGAGTGTCATGGTGTTTGTTGACGCTGCGTGGGCAGGAGTAAGAAATTACCAAGAGAGCCGAGAGGACTCCTTCAGATTATTGTACCATGGGCTGACATGAATGCTTTTATTGATGCTACTGGCATAACCAAAATGTTTTCAAACAAAAGAAAGTGTACATATTCAGAAAGTAGATAAGCTCTTTATATTGCTCTGCATTGTCCGTTTCTCTTCCTGAATTCCTGAGACAGTTGGCCGTGTGAAGATGGCAGCTTTTTTTTTTTTTTTATCTGTCAGCAGCAGTGTGTTGATGTGTTTTGACAATGTTGTTTTGTGACTGATGGGCTCCTCTGTTCAATACATCCTGCTGTTGAGCTGCCCCCGACGTGACGGAGCTCAGAGTGACAACTGGTTATCTTTCTACCTGGGATACTGTGGTGTGTGTACTAATATTTTCTACTCTCTCTCTTCCCATCTGTGTGTGTGTGTGTGTGTGTTTTTGTGTGTGTGTGTGTGTGTTTTGTGTGTGTGCCAGGCCCTTTCCGTCAGAGGACACAGCTCTGAATGAGGATGATGTGTACCGGAGCCTTGAAGAGCTGGCAGAGTAAGTATTCATTCCACACACACACACACACACACACACACACACACACACACACACACACTTGTTTTTGTCACTTAGGATGACGTGTTATCAACTTAAATTTATTCTCTGGAGACTTCCCCTAACCCTAAACTTCAAAAACCTCACGCCTTACCCCTACCCTGACTTTTCCTTAGCCTATAAACCAACCCAAAAACAAAACTAAACCCTTCAAATGAAATGGCTTACCTTGTGGTGACCAGCTCTCTGTTGCCAAATAGGAGGGGAGACTCTGCTGCGTAACTGTGTCAAGATATTCTTGTGATTAATACAATTACAGACACACACACACACACTCGCCATTATCATCATCAAGATAGACCATTGTTAGTTTTTAGCTGTTGTCACGGAACATTACACTTTTTAAAATCTTTGGATTTGATGTTCCAGCAGATTAAAATAAATGTTTGTTTCCTGCTGCAGAAAGTCATTGCTTTCTACATTTAGCTCAGAGTATCTTTTTAAACTGGGTAACAATGGCGTGTCTCTCATCATGCTGGAAATAAGCCAGAGTCCATCAAAGTAATAATATATATATATATGTGTGTGTGTGTGTGTGTGTGTATTTCTTATATTACTGCAGACTTAACAATTCTCCACCCATCATGTACACAACACATCTTGATGTGATGTTTTCAGCGTGATTGCCACTTCTTCCAATTGTCTCTAACTGCTTAATTACATAAGCGTAGAGCCTTGTGTCACTCTGCCCGTTGCCATGGTGACACCGTCTCAGCTCTGGATTCTGGTGTGGCTGCCTCTTCGGACCGACTCGGTGGCCGGCTTCCTGGTTTGGTGTGTGTGTGTGTGTGTGTGTGTGTGTGTGTGTGTGTGTGTGATGGGTGGATGGGTTTTCGCTGGGTGCGAAAGAGAGAAAAGTAGGCTCTTGGAGTTTGCAGAGGTTCCAGCGGTGACAGCAGCCGCTCAACTCAGATTAATGGAGAATAATTAGTCTACCGCTCTGAGACGGGTGTCATTCATCACAGAAAGATAGGAGGTAGGAGAGGGGGAGATAGAAAGGAGACCATGCGGGTTATAGCTATATGCCGGCTGAATACTTGATCGTGGCGTTGAGGAATGTGCTCTCGCTAGAGGAGATGGGTGCCAGCCAAGCAGGCTAATGCTGGATTAGAGTGCAGCTCAGCCAAACATTTAGCCCTGCTAGCTTAGAGCGTGGTTCCTTACCTTGAAAACGGAACTCAATCCTGCACAAAAAAAATAGAAGAAATACTAAAAAACGTGTTGATTCAAAGATTTCATATACCAAAAAAAACAGGGATGTAAATATGCTCATAAAAGAACAGACAACTTCAAAAAGAGAAGAAGTCAGACTGAGCTTGCTGTATTTCCTGACATGTCCCTAATTTGTTTCATATACAACCCGACTTCTTTTTGCAGCCAGAGACTGTTAGAAATAAATGCTAGTTTAAGGCACCTCGCCATTGGCTTCACTTTCTAGACCTGGAGGTTGCCGCCTAGTTTTGGCCGCATAGAAGCAGCTTCGATGAGCTTGAGTTTTCAGTTTTTCTCTGAAATGGTCAATGGTGTTGTAACACTGTGCTCCTTGTGTCACCTGTAGGTGCAGAGGGCCGGGTCTCATTTAATTAATCATTCTGCTCTGCAGCACGGCTGCTCTTGACCTTTTACAAAGAACATAAATGCAGCGGCGGACGGACACATAATTGATTCCTCAGCAGGTCCTGCACCTAATACAGTTGGACACACTTAGCACATAGGCCACGCCAGCAATAACCCTGCTCTGAGAGACTTATTAATTAGCCATGCATAATTTACAATGGATGAGTGACGGAACTGCTAGAGTGAGGGAGAGGACAAAGATCATCTTACCGCAGTAATAATAGTCATTTATTTATGGATGCAGTATTATTTAACAGCATCTCGGAGAAAGAAAATAATACAATGACAGCCGATATTATATCATAAAAATAACAGCATGTAAGGAATAAAACAGCAATATTGTCACCAAAAATATTTAGTGTGAGAAAATGAAGGTGCATGGAGTAGCGATATAATGGCGTATAATAAAAATCAATAAAATGGCATCATTAAGTTCAGTGATAAGATGACAAAGGATACTAAGTGCAATGGAAGGCAATCTATAAAAATTGATTTTGAGGTGAGATTTAAAAAGCGAGTTCATGCCAGCAGACCAAACGTTAAATAGAAGACCGCTCCAGCCGCCCGGCCAGCAACAGATCGATCAACCTTTCATTTTCATCTGGAGCAGCCAAAAGACTTGAACTGGTGGACTGGTGGAGGCCTCTGAGGACAGCTGGAGGTCCACTACTCACTAATGTAATGGCGGCTGTTGTATTAATCAATGTTTTTAAAGATATAATTGGTTTAATAGCCATTTAAGGCTTTTATAGATGGTTGTTCTTCAGCCAGCAGCTTGGCCTTAAATATACACCAGAATGTTTGCGGTTGACCATGTATCATTTCTGAGGTTTTAGCAGAGGTCACTTACCTTGCTGGATGATTTCCATATTTACGATATCAAGTCAGAAGACTTCATGTCAGGCGAGGTGAATTGAGGCTTCAGGCTGTCAGTATGAGCTCACCAGGAAATTACAGCTGTAAATGATTGGCACTGAGATTCTGTGACGGGTGCAGGTATATGTGTATTTGTGAGGCATGCTCCGGCTTGATTTCTGCTGCACCACATCTGTTTTGCAGGCGTGTCTGAGTCAGGTAGTGGCCAGCCTCCACCTAATTGAGGTCTCATGGGTTAATGTGGTAAACCTGATCCACACTTCCTTCCTCCGGCTTTGTGATGTCAAGTCTCCGTGTCGTTTAACTCAGAGTTCTCCCTGTCTGGAATGACTCCATCCTGGAGTTGACAAAGCATGAAATGGGGGTGGATCGGACACAGCCGCCAAGGGACTTTTTCCTCTGTGAAAGGCGGATATAGATTTCCATTCCAAAACAAACAGTGTCACAAGCCCTTTGTGTCACTCTTGTAGTTTGTTTTTGCACCATTAATCCCTTGGGCAGGTTGGCATGAAAAGTCAATAGCTTGAAAATGGATGGAACTCAGTAGGTATCATTTACTGCAAAGTATTAAGTCACATACGTTTTTAAGTTCAACTTTATATTACCACATGACCACAGTCAGGATAAACTATTCTTAACTAGAGACGGCCAGTAAGAACTATTAACTGTATATAAGAAGCCATTGTCATTTTGGTTTTTGGCTGTGGCCATCTTGTTTTTTTTGCAACCAGAAGTGACACTAGAGGGCGGAGCTTAGTACAATCTAAGGTTGAATAAGAGATTTTTAGGTGAACAAAAAGGCTTTAATTAACTTTAATTTAATGAATTGAAAACACTGCGAAAGGGTTAAGGTCGTAAAGCGAAAACACAGACCTGTCAATCACAAGGTAGCCCCGCCCTAAAGCACACCCTGCTTCATCATCTATCTGACTCTAAATGGACCATAACTTACTAAATGAACATCATGCTGTATTGAAGAAGACTTGAAACTAGTGATGAGACTTTAAGCTCATGTTTACAATGTTTACTGAGGGAATAAATCAAGAGAGAAGGAGGCCAAAACCTTCCTTAAGTACATACAGAATATCAAAATCGAATGCCGTGGAATTCACTGGGAATTTATGCTCCTGACAAAATAAGCCCTCACAATGTCAATGCCCACATGACTTTGCCTATAGTGCCGCACTCAGGAAACTGCTCACAATTTGGCCTCACTGATGATAGGCATCAATCAGTATGTTAGCATTGTGAGGGACAGTGATACATGCAACCTCCATGGGCCTGAAACGTGAGATGTTTTGGGGTGGGGTTTTTTTGTTGTTTTTTTGTATCAGTCTCATCAGCTGTATAGATGCAGTGCGGCAGCAGCATCGTGATGTTACAAGCCCTGATGCAGACAGAGTATTAAACATTTTAAAACCTTGCTGTATTGAAAAACATAATATTATTTAAATAGAAACCTGTTAGGCAGCCTTTGGGGACCAATGCTCAGTAGCTCTGATATGGTGAGTCACACTCCGTCCCTCCACTGATGTAACTCTATGTCTTTGAGCAGAGGCTTGCGGGCCGATTGCGTGCAGACACCATGGACACCCTCTGCCCTGTCACTGTTTAATCAGACAGAAGATCAGACCTAATTCATCAGTCCTCAGGACTTTGCCCCATTTTTTCTACCTCACTGCTGCATTGTGATGCATGCACATGTGCAAGTACACACAAAGTGCATTCATATGATTTATTAATGTCCAAGAGACAAAGGGACGTAAATTGTAAAGTTATGGTGCGACAGATTTACACTGGCAAGAATCATGTTCCCCCCTCCCCCCTTTCTCTTTCTAAGAAGACACACACACACACACCCTGAAACGTTAACCGTAAACATCAATACTACATGTCGAAACCTCAACCATTGTTGTCGCATTTATCTTAACTTAATTCTAACCTTGAGCTTAAAATCTGAAAAGGGGACTGACTTTTGTCCCCAAGTGATCTTCCATTTCCTGTGAATCTCTTGTGCAGGTTAAGGTAATTTGTTACACAGTATTTTTCACAACAAAGTCACCAGTGCTTTAAATGGATCAAGATTTAAAAAATAAAATAAAATAAAATACAATACGATAAGATAAGATGAGACAAAATAGAATCCAATGAACACATAGTTCTTTCCCTCAGATTGACCTAACCGCCACTAAGACCATATCCTGACCCTCAAACAGCCCATTGAAGAAGTGAGAAGAAAGCCAAAATGTCCTTAAGTCCTCAAAGAATAACATCACTATCCAAAACATCATGACATCATGGTCCTTACAATGATGGAAGGACAGGACATACGCCTCAAGCTGATGACATCTTTGTAAACAAGCATTAGTCTTTCAAGTTACTACAGTAGGAACTTATTATGTTCAGGTTCATTAGAGTTATTAGGATCAATGCATATTGACTGTGAAAACAGCCAGTCAAGTAAGAAGTTCGTTAATGACATTAACAATTACAGATCTGCAGGAGTCTAGAGACCGATATTCCATCTGGTTAGTTTTTGGGAAAATAAATATAGACAATGCATTAGAACTACAGTAAATGTAAGGAAAGGGGCAGAAATGGAATCAAACATTGGAAAAAAGCATTGTACAATGCATATTTGGGATCAATAGGTCAGCAAACGCCACTCAGAGAGACTTGGGCATGAGGAAAAACAGAAAGTAGGTGCTATAAATGAAATCCCCGGTCGATAGGAAGCTTTTCTCCAAACCTGTTGAGCCCTCAGTCAGTGTAATGTAGCAGACCGTCAGTCATCATTATTGAAAAGCACTACAATTATACTGAACTGACTGACTGAACCAACGGAGTATTGAACAATGACAAAATAACCAACCGGCAAAGAGGGAGGGGCTAAATCATCTTCACTAATCAATGGAATATTTAACCTTTGACAAGTTCAGGATCAATAGCTGTAGATGAAGGAAACCAACACATTTTTTTCTATTACATTTTTCAATTCTCTATTCAATTTAGATTATTAATATTGTTCTATAGTAATGCTATATATAGTAATTACGGCTTTTCATGAAGAAAAGACTGCCCTACAGACTCCTCCTCCATGCCCTAACCTGGAGAGATGCTCCTCTTAGATCTTTGCACAGCTCATATTCATATCATTGCACTACACCTCCGTCGTACAGTACCGTCTCCGAGGGATAAGAGCAGAACCTAAAGTACAACATCTTCTTTTTGTGAGCTTCCCTGCTGTGCAGCACGTCAGTCACCGTGGAGCGTGTGCTGCTATCTCAGAGTTCAGAGAGCAGACACTGATGGGACAGCGTGGGCCTCCCACACAGTCTTCTCCGTGTTCAACATGAGCCGCTTTAACTTAATGAAGAAAAGAAGGAGCACAGCGCAGACAGTGAACCCGGCCACCTCAATTAACACTTCAAACAACCCCCGCACTAGCGTGACGACAAAGCTGAATATTTCAATGAGGGCAGTTCTATCTTCTCCGATTTGTATCCCCTATTCACACAATATTATGGCAATGATGGCAGATGTAAAAGGTTACAGTGAAGAAAACCCAATAACCTGTGCCCATAAATCTTGTTTTAGAATATTCATGAATCAATAAAGCTTGCAAAATCCTTACAAAATATCCAATTTCAGAGATGTCCAAGTGAAATGTTTGGTGCTAGGACAGACCGGTTATGGCCCCATTAGACGAGTAGTAAAGTATACAGATACATCTGGATGAGGCACTATTCATCCAAGCACGGAAATCCTGTCTTCGCTTGCCCCCACTCAGTCCGGGTCAGAGCACGAAACAGCATCCCGAGCTGGTAGGCATTGAATGTCACGCTCAAGGACATTTAAGCATGCCGGCCACTTGCCGAGCTGGAACCCTTTGGTTCTCCTTTTCTGAGCACCTGGAGGCAGTCGAGACTGCCAACTCTTACAGTACACTCTTGATAGTATTTATTCATTTATTTAAAAAAGAAAGGTGGCGGTGAAAGGGAGAGGTGTGTGGCGGTGTTCTTAAAACAACAGGAAGTTAGTTATTGTAGTTTGACCTGTTAATTGGCCCGCTAATCAAAACGGTCAGATGTCGGAGCAATTAAGGTACTTTGAGACTCAAATCAGGGCACACATATGCTACACTTAGATTCAGTGTGAGGATATTTTCTCTGTGTATAGGAATCTGTTAAAAAAATATGCTTCATGTAAGTCCAAAGCCTGCCTGACCAGTTTTCTTCAGTATCAAAGCATCCATTCATATTTGTTTGTACACCACATGGGTACATTGCAAACAGGAACTGCTTATAGCCAAATTCATCATACTTTTAATGATGCCAACATGCCCGAATGTAAACAACTATATGGAAAAAATAAAAATGATGCTCTGAATCCACGGCAACTTTACATGCGAGCGTTAGTCGGACTCCTCCTCAGTACATTTGAGGTGGACGGAATTTTGTTTAAACAAGCAAGCAGCTGCCAAGCTAGAACCCTGGTCCTCCATTATTTAGCAGGCAGCTCCTACTACTTTTACTTTATTTACAGTACTTAATCATTTATTACCGTTTCGGCGACCTAAAGCTCCCTGGTTATTAACTACATCGATATGGGCCCATTGCCAAAGCCTATTCCTGCTGAGGCTTCTGCCTCAGTAAGTTTCCCCAAACAATAATTGCTTTTACAGGACAAAGGCAGATGCACTGTGGGCTCCCTGAGCACGAGGGTCTTTTCCCCAAAAAGGCGCTCCTCTCCACAGTGACTGTCTGTGCTCTGCTGGCTGCTTGCCTAATTAAAGGTCAGTTAGCTAGCTGGGTGCCAAAGCGGCATAAACACATTAAAGGGAAATGCCACTCAATAACGCAACTCGGTGGAGGTTTGTGAACATCGGGTGCTGTGTCCCCTTGCCTGGAACACCAATATCGCTCTCCAAGCTAGGGCTCGGGAGAGGTAATGAGCTCGTACTGGTGCGACTGTTCAGTGCCTCTCAGCTGTCAGAGCAGTTTAAAGTGGACATGGAAGCCTTTTTTTGTGGCGCAGTAAAAGGATCCGTCCTTTGAGTTAAGTTGTTCATCCAACTTGTGTGCATGTGTTTTTTCCCCCCAGTGAGCATGACTTGGGTGAGGATGACATCTACGACTGTGTGCCGTGTGAGGACGATGGAGATGACATCTATGAGGACATCATTAAGGTGGAAGTACGACAACCCATGGTGAGAACATTCCATCACAATTCCTGCCTTTTTATCATAAAGGTTTTTTTTTGTGAATTGTTAATGATGTAATTGTCTCAGGTGTTTGTCATATTTTTAATCTGCTGCTTGCTGACTAAAGGGTTGCATTTTGTTAGTCACCTTAGACACAGATGCTTCTTTATCTGGTGTACATTAGACAATTCTTATTACCAGGAAAGAAACAATGAACTAAAAAAAGAGGAAACACACACTTCTTGGAGGAAGACCTACCTTCGTATTTGCCTGATGTCATATCTCTAAAACGCACTCCGATCTCTTACACAACTGGTGATTAATTTGACTTCTGACTTGTACTGCTTTGCCTTTCCCATGCTGCAGATCAGATACATGCAGGTGAGTGCCGCTGTGCTTGTGACTCACCTTACCCTGTCACGCTAACTCCCTCCACCACTTCATTTAAAACGAACTCATAGCATCCCAAGAGAATGGCCTGCCAGTTAGATTATTGACCCGTGCCTGGGTTGGTAGAGGGGAGCCCATCTGGTGCAAGGTGTGACTCAGGGCCATTTGGAGACGGTTGTGACTTCAGCTCGGTGACATCAGCTCCACCACCAGCTGCCACATGAAAAGCACGAGACAAATAAACGTTAACCTGCTGGCTTTGCGCCCTGCTTCTGATTGGTTGATTACATTCTGGATGGAGGCCTTGACTAGACTTGCATGTCTAAATTGCTAGTTCCACTTTTTGTATTATCTGCACAGGTTATCAACAGCCAAATCGGTTCCAGATGGCTTTGTTAGTAACCCTGCAGGCAGGCCTGCTCAAAACCCTCCCACAACATAGAAAATCTCTGTAGAAATGAAGCCTCTCTCTATGACGTTCTACGCCAGCATCAGTTTTGGACTCTTGTCAAATTTCCGCTTGTTACATGCGTACATTTTCCTTTAAAAATAAACTTCCGGCGTATGTTTACTTCCAACAAAACCTCATGGTTAGGTTTCGGAAAAAATTGTGGTTTGGGTTAAAATAAGTCCACTTTAAATAACTGCACTTCTTACTTAACTGGTGTTTCTAATGCAGATGCGAAAGGTCTGGGAGTGAGACTCAGATGTCAGGACTCTTGACAAACGCTCTGAGTCAATCAGTTTTTAACTTGTCCCAATCCTCCAGCACCCACTCAAAACATGCCCGCTTGCATGGCTATGACTTAAAAACTCCCTATTCATCTACTTATGCATACATATGCCTTGTTCAGCCAGCTAGCCAGCCCACACATACAGTGACACAAAAAAGCTCTGACGCGTCCCTTTCTCACCAAAGTCATTGTCATCGCCACCTCACTTTCAAATTGTCAAACCTGATGGACGGCACTGTAGCTCACTAATGGTGCATAGTGTGAACTTGTTTACACACAGACCGTTTTAGATTCTTGAATGCATTTTTCCTTTGGTTCCACTAACTATTGCTTTCCATTCATTTGCAGACTGTAGGAAAATCAACTAGCAAATCCAATCAATGTGATTTTGCCCAGGACTCCCTGGAAAGTAGAATTGATTGTGAATAGATTATCCTGTTAAAATAAAGTAGAACAGACTCTAGAAACCAGCTGGAGTCGTGTAATCCATCACAGTCAACATCAAGTCCTCGTTCATCGTTGTCAATGTTTCATTATGGTTGCATGGTAAATTGATTGGGAAAAGTCGGCACTGCATTATCTCATACGGACAATGCTATTTGATAGATTAAACAACTCAAGCAAAGGAAATGAATAGAAGCCATTGACCTCCTGCAATGGTAACAAACACCAACATATATTACAATTTCCAAAATACAGCGGCAAGGTTTGCAAAAGGCTTAGTTATCATGATATATATGTGTTTTAAGAATGGACTGAAACATAAAAGGCCACTGGTATGGTCCTAAAGAAAAACTGTGTTTGTACGTCACAAATTTAGATAAATAATCAATGTGAAACTGGCATCATCTTGAACTCCATATATGTATGAATATCATGCAATTCCCTGTGATCATCACAAAAACAATCCTATAAACGGTAATCGCAAGGAAACAAATGTAAAAAGATAATCAATGATCCAAAATCATGCAGTCTAATTGTCCTGTCTCATTATATTTCCTTATCTCGCCGTAGAAGATGGGTATGACAGAAGATGACAAGAGAAATTGCTGCTTAGTGGAGATCCAGGAGACGGAAGAAAAGTACTACAAGACTTTAGAGGACATTGAGAAGGTGAGTGCACATGCAATGTTGTGTTAGAGTTTCCTTTTGTCAATTCTTCTTTGTTGGTGTCTTAGGCCTGTGGGCCGGGTCACAGCATGGAAATGTCAGCTATCGGCACATTAATTGGAGGGCGCAAATGTCACAGGAGCCGGTCAATAGGTTTATTATTGGCTCAGCAGGAGACACTAAACCCTGGGGCTCTAAGAATAGACACGCACATCACAGTTGGCAGAGTATATTACTGCTGTATGTGAACACAGAATCCAATACAGTATCCAGCATTCAGCTAACCCAAAAAAAAAGAAGCTATTACTTACACATCACACATATTACATGGCCTCAAATTGTGTGAGAATATTCCATTATTTTCTCAAGAATCTTTACCTCCCACTGGTGTGTTGTTCACCTACCCATCACAGTTTCTATATTTCCTTCTGTGTTACTGCTGCATAACACTAGTTAGTGATTACAGTTGTGGTAACATTGGACACCCCTACAGCCGGGACAAAAAGCAGACAAACTCGATTTGCATCCACATAAAACAGCAGATTATGTGTGCGTGAAGAGTCATAAACTCGCACACATGCATCATCTCTCTCCGTGTGATAATGAGCCATTGTTGAGCTCCGCGCTGCTAACACATCACTTTCCGCATTGACAGATTTCGTTCTCGATTTGATGGAGCGCCGCAAATCACGCGCTCCGCTAATTTCATTAAATTAAATGGGCATCCTGTGTTTTGCCGCGTCGGCCCAACGCGAAACTAAATGGGAATAAATAACCCTCTCGTGATCAGAGGACTCGTTACGCTTAATTGAGTTGGGGTTAATAAAGCCTCATTTCTTCATTGCTTCTTAGTTGATCTATTTGTTATTGTTTATGATGATGGAATGTGACAACCATAAAACAATGTTGGAGAAACAATGGGCAGGTTTCTCTTCCGTAAGCATAAGTGCAGCATAGGGAAGAGCTTTATGCTTTGAACTGACGGCAGATACAGTATAACTCCTGCACCCTGTAAACAACAATATGGTGGCTCCATCTTCTACAATATAGTGCGAAACAGATCTGCTAAAAGCTCGGCCATAGCTTTATTGAATTTCATCCATAAACGTTTATAAATGAAAGACAGACAGACTCTGGGTACCGTATTTGTTTCTCAGTTGATATTCAATCTTTCCCCTGATTGTTCTCTCGTTTCTCTTTAGAATTACATGATCCCATTGAAGCAAGTCATGAGTCCACAGGACATGGAGGCTATCTTTGTCAATCTTGAGGTGAGGACCTGCTCAAGCAAAGAAAATTAATTCTATACAGCACGCCTGAATGTCCAGCACACCAAGTGAATAATTCAATATGTGTGTGGGTGGCCGAATGAATAAAATACAGGGTGTGTTGTAGATTATTAATGGTAATATTCACGCTTTGATTTGCACTGCGATTTTGATGTCACAGGTCAATGTTTTCATCACAAGGGGGGGTAAACAAAATAGCATATGTATTTTCGGTATTTTTAGTTAACTTACAGTGACTCATTGGCTGTAATTCTTGTTGTACAATTTGATCAAAAGCAACATTTCAATATTACACCAACTACCAAACTGTGAACACCTAAAGGAACATTAGGTAACACTTTATTTAGTCTGCCTACAACTAGTGTATAGAGCATTTCTAACATGGTAACAGCTTATTCATTGATCTGTTTCACTTAGTCTGTACATGTTTAACTGATTATCTATAGAGTATAGAGTACATTGAGTAAATGTGAATTAATTATATAAATTTATCAACATACCTACATATTCACAGACCAATTTAGTTGAACAAATGTAAAAATATGTTCAAAATCTGTTGAAAATAGTCAACAAACCATTTCATGAATGTTTGTTGAACATGATCGACTAATGTTATACAATATGTATATAGAAATGTTCAACAAATGTTTTACCATGCGTTAATACAAATCTACAGACGCTATTTGGTTATGCAAGTGAAAATCAACTGAATCAAGTAAAGGATATTAAGTTTAAAGCAATAAAGGGTTTGACTGCAGTCAGTTGAATATTGGGACATTCATTTGTTGAATAGGAAATAACTATCCATGGTATAAGTGGTTCTTTTTATCTTAAAAACGATGTATAAAGGATGCATTATAGTAGAATGGGTAGATTGTAATATGTATTATGATGTGCACTCAGGATGTAATAAAGGTCCACTTCGCCCTCCTGCGAGCCATTGACCTGAACATGATCACTGGAGGAAACGGCCTGGGGAACATCTTCTTTGACTTCAAGGAAAGGTTAGTAATCTGAAATGTGTTTGCGTTGTTGATCCCTGCACAAGCAGATGCTGTTCATCTTTTGGTACATTGAGTATTAAACCCACTTGCAGTTAAGAGGAAGCTGCAGATTTGCTTCCCTTTTAAAGTCAGTAGGCTGCATCATGGTGAGTATCCACACATCGCTCAGAGGATTGCTGGGATTAGTGTTAAAAGAATTTAAAACAAAATAAAATGTTTGAGGAAAAGCTGAGAAAGCATGTAACCAATTGTTCCCCATTCAACCTAAACGGTGAGAGTAAATCCACTAAAGACTGCATCTGCTTGTCACAGTTATTCCTGCAATGTGCTTTTATTTTCTTAAGAAGTACAGTAAGAATACATTTCAACTGTTTCTGCAGTTCACTTTATTTCAAGTGCAGCCACCTGCCTTGTCTGTTCTGTTTCAAGATAATCACCCGCACTCCACCATGTATAGAGGAGGTGGAACTTTGGGTTGTGCTGCTTTTGCACATTACCATACCACCACAACCTAATACAAGTTTTCATTTCATCATTTATTTAACTTATATTGATATTACGCATTTTTAATATATTTGTTGTAGCTATCCATATATGCAACCATATATATTACTTGAAAACATAATTTAGTTTTCCTTATAATTAATGCATTGCTTGTTATTATTACCTATACAGTATTTTTCTTAATATTCTATTAATTTAAATATTTTGGATATGTCTTTTTTACATTTTATGTCTGTCTAGCATGGAGGGGCCTACAACGACATTTCATTTTACAAGTCAGAATATTCTCACTGCACGGACCCTTTGTTTCACTTGTTTTAAGAAAGGCATGTCTTTGGAGAGAAGGAGGGGGTTTCTGTGGGGTGGAAAGCAGATGTTTATCAGCAAAAAGGTTTTCCTCTCAGATCTCAATCTTGCCCAGCTGCTGAGCAACGTGTGGATCATTTGCATCCCCGAGGGGAGTGGTGATTTGCCTCCCTGCTGTGCCGAGTGTGGCTGCTTCATAGGTAATGGTGATGATGGTGATGATAGGTTCTGGCCCTGGTCATAACTCCATACACAACCGTGGATATGCCACTCTCCTCACATGATACACCCATTACTGCAAGAGTGAGTAACACACCACCAGATGTGTGTGCATACCTGTCCGTGCATTCATAAGCATATTCTATTCTTCTGCTCAGTGATCCTGATAACACGCATACTCTTTTTCCCCTCCTCCTCAGCCTGAAACAGGCATTCACAGTATTTCTTTGGGCGACGTCAGTTTTCATAGGTAATAGGGTTGTCGCATGCTTCTTCCTTAAGCCTAGAGGGCCATGTAACACAAAGTTGGTGTGACATTAGAGGCTCAATTTCTGCTAATAGACAGAGGCAGGCACATACTCTCTCCCTCTATCTCACACACACGCGCATGCACACACTCCTACTGTATCCCCTTCCCTGTTCAGCTCATCTGACTCTCTGATCTGATTGAACAGTGGTTGGGAATCTTCATTTGCACGCAATCCCAGATAAGGTCCAGCTAGCCAAAGGTCCCCGTAGAGAACTGGCAGTTTGTCTCGTGAAAGCTCAGAGGATGCACATGGGGAGAGAGAAACAGGGGAAACACTGGAAAAGAGTTTGGCAGAAACAGTAGTGTTACAGTCCTATTGTGTTGATTATAACAAAATTATACTTTACTTGTAAAGTAATTATATGGCCAAAAGTATGTGGACTTGTTGAACATCAAAACTATTGATTAATTCTACTCCCCATCCCAATCCTGGAAGAATGACTCCCATCACAACCTTTTATAGCGCCAAGGCCTAGGTTACAGTTGGCATTACATCGTATCCCAAAAGTGTTTAGGTCAAGGCTCTGTGCAGGATAGTCAAGTTATTTCACACCCAACTGGGAAAAAGCATTCCTTTATGGACCTAGCGTTGTGCACGAGGACACTACCATGATGAAACAAGACTGTCAAACTGTTGCCGCAAAGATGGAAACATGCTAAACTGCGATATCATCGCATAATGTAGCATTACGATTACTTTCATTGGAACTAAGTTGTCCAAACTGTGAAAAAGGAGCCACAGAATAATAGTACACATTCAGTCTTCTACCATCCTGAATGGATGTTAACCTTCTATCGCTGACAGAAATAACTAACATTTATCTTCCATTCATAAACAAATTAGCTGATGACATGCTGTTCTTTGTTAATATTTATCTTTAGTGACATTCTCAGAAATGAGAAGCAGGGTTATTTTAAGAAAACGGTTCATTAGATTTGCAGGTTCTGTGCCTCACAGGCTTTGACTTTGTGCGTGTGATTGACGTGTATACCTGCCTCATTATAAGCCACCGGGGTGTCTTGTCTCTCTGTGGCGATAAGCAACAGGGACCAGGGGATTTGGACTCGCACAGCACCGCTCTCATCGGGCATCTTGGCGATTTTTCTGAGGACCAGGCTTGGCATAATTAATGTGGCTATCTATGCTTGTAAGTCCAGGTGACCTTTACAACAATGTGCTTGTTTCTTTCTTTCTTTCTCTCTCATGTTGGTGCAAAAGATGAAAAGCTTTTTTTTTTCTTCTTTTGGTCATTTAACTGAATGCCGTGCTGAAAATGTCACTGGTTTATCTCGACTACTTCTCAATTTTTAAACAGCCAGAACTGGGCTAAGAGGGAAAGTGGGCTAAGGGGAAGCTCTATAAACTAAATGGGCATCTAAGTACGCTCTTGTTCATATCCTCATTTTCGACATTCCCCAACTCATTTACGGAGTAATCTTGGCTTCCTAATATCATTGCAGTCCCTAATCATGGCTGCACTATGAGCCTCTTTATTGGAGGTCTTTGCTCTATGTTCTCCTCCATTTACTGTGTGCTGGAAATGTTGAGTGGAGGTGAGGGGGTCCCAATGCCATGTGCCAGAGAATATTAGCTGGCTCCACGGCCTGTCACTTCTGGTTTGCTTGGAGATTGGCTCAGCACGAGGGTGGGGGGGTGAAGGCCCAGGGCGCAGTTACTCAAAATTGCATTTTCTGTGAAATAACATGCACGACAGCATCCTCATTATTCAAGAGGCCAGAACAGCAGGGCGATGTGACAGCCCTGAAAATAATTCAAACAAGCAAGTTTTTACTGCACCAGCAAACTCTCCAATGAAGGAAAAGTGTGTGAAACAGCTCTGTCGTTTAGAGGTTGCTGTGTAGCTTCTCCTTTTCACTATAGCCTGTTTGCAAACTTCTTTTTTCAATTTCTCCTGTAGGTTTTAGGCCTTGTGTTTTTGTCCGTCTTTATTTCCGCCTGTTCGTACTTACGCACGTTCATACGTCCCATTTCCTGGAACGCCACGTCTGGCCCTGAGGGAATTTCTTCAAATTAGGCACAAATGTCCACTTGAATTCAAGAACGGAGTAGAATTTGGTGGTCGAAGATCCCAGAAAAACCTTGAGGAATTTTCATTACAGCTGGTACAAACATCTACTTGGACTCAAGGATGAACTGATTACAACTCGATGTCATTGTGAACTCACAAAACAAGAATCCATATGCTGATTAATACACTTTCACTCAAATTAAAATGTCGTGATGACATTTCGGACAAGCATGAATGTAAACCGCACTTCACTCTTTGGCGAAGGCAACTCTCAGTTCTAGTTAGTAATAAGGAAAATCAACATATGCTCAAATGCAAAGAAGGCAAAGAAGGCATGTGATGAACACAGAACCCACATTAAACCAGCAGCATTATTAATGCTTCACTCTAGCACATGTTGGACCTTTGAAATCCCACTGCAACTGTTGGGCTTCATACGCGTTTGAATGTGCTGCATGAGATAATGGAGTAATGCTGCAATAACTTAATTCACTTGCTCTGAAGATGTCTAAGTTTGCTTTCGTTGTTTTGGGAAAAGCCAATATAGAGCTTAATTAGACTATTCCAATTAATATTTACGTTTATTTTTAATTCATGTTTGCAATTTAATCAAAACACTGTATGTACAATACGGTATTTTAGATTGCAAAGTTTCAAGCAGCAATTCAAGGAGAAAACAGGGCATGATGAGTCGTTACCTCCCACAGTGATGTGTTCAGACGTGGTGTCAAGTTAGAAGTGTGCTTATCGCCGTGTCACCGACTAATTACGCATGACTGTGCCAAGAGTGGATGCGTGCTGCAGTGTGCGTGTGTGTCATCAGCCCTTTTCTTCCACTGCCTATCTCAGTGAAGAGGACAAAGCCTCTGACTAGCCTCTCAAGTCTCAGGCGAAAGGCTGTTATTAAATGTGTGAATATATAACTTATGTCCACACAACACGGCGTCAAATGATCCAGTTATCGCTTAACAACACAGTTGTGTGTGATTTTGTGACCCTGGGTGTGATATTTTGGTGCCAGATATTGACGATTTTTCTTTTCTTTCTTTTTTTATGCACTAAAAACCTACAAGGTGTTGTTGTTGTTTTTTCAATCAATGTAATTCATCTTCTGTGTACAGTACAAAATACTGTGTTATTTTCCATGCACACAACTCACACAAATCAAATCAACTTATATTGTCACACAAATACACAGCACAACACACACAGTGAAGTTAAGCCTCTGCATTTAACCCATCCTAGTATTAGGAGCAGTGGGCAGCTGTAACTATACAGTGCCCGGGGAGCAGGATGGGGATCCAGTGCCTTGCTCAAGGGCACCGCATTATGCTCCCTACTTGGTCCATGTGGGGACTTATCCAATATATGATACAGCTGTGGTACGCTGACCTATTTTCATGTTACACATGCCGACGTCCACGTAGAATGGGTAGAATAACCTGAATAAATAAGCGTTATTATGCTATTGTATCTTTTTCAGTTCCACGAATCAAAGTCTTTTTAATTTTCCCAAAATGAATACAAATTAACCAGCTTTACCATATATATATATGTGTGTATAAGAGATACCAGTGGATTCTCCTCTTTTTTAATTAATACCCTATGTCATTTTTCTCTTGTCATTTTGGGAAAGCCCTCCTAAGCTGAAGAACACATTCATCTGACATATCACCACTATAAAGCTGTGATGGCTAACATTTAGCAAAACAGTTGCTTATTTACACATTGGGCTGACAACGTGCTGACATTAGAATTCATTTGGAGTTGAAAGTCAGTCTGTAGTCATTCTCCTTGTAGCTCTGGTTTGGTTTCCTCCATCTCCTGACAACACCCGGCCCTCTAGCTGCTAGATACATGTCCCACTTTCTTCATCAGTTACTGTAGTTTCTAACTTTGTATGGCTGCCATTTGGAGGTGAATGGGTAGCGCACAGTGGGTTTATCAGAGCTTGTTTGCTTGGAAACAAGGCTGGTGGGATCCCTGAGAACAGATGTACTGTAAAACCAAAACTGCAATCTTCAAGAGGCTAAAGTGGGCTCCAATATCACAGCAGAATGGTGCTGGCTGTTTGGTTGGACATGTCGTTTGTTTGCTGCAAATGGAAACTTAAAAAGAGATTGAGCCCTCAGGCAGCAGAGAACGAGCCTCTGGCTCCAGGCACACAGTGGTACTGATGAAAACACACTCACTCACACACACACACACACACACAAACACACACACACACACACACACACACACACACTAAAGGACGGCCTTCTTTTAAACTAGACCAGATAAACTTTCATTCACTCAGCTTTTGCCAATACTGTGGGAGAAACATATTTCTGGACCCTTTCAGTATAATGTTCCTTATTAAGCAAAAGTAGTGACCCAGGTTTTTGTCTTGAAACATAGTTTCCACCTATTTTTTAAAGGCCATATAATCATTTAATAAAACATGTACAATCAAAATATATTAATGATTATTATCTTTTTCATACCGTCATCTCCACTGCACCCCCCACTTTCCTCTGAACGTTCTTTTCAATTCAATTTATTTTGTATAGCCCAGAAATTTGCCTCAGAGGGCTTTACAATCTGTACACATACAACATCCTTTGTCCCAGGACCCTCACGTCGGAACAGGAAAAACTCCCCCCCACTATTTGCAGAGAGTTCACCTATTTATTCTTTGTAATTTACCTCGTTTCCGCACAAGGCAGCAGAAATAACTGACTATGCGGCCAGTGCCAAAACGTTCGCAGGGTGTTGTTTTCAGAAGATATTTTCTGGACTTTCGCAGAAGGTTGTTGACCTAACGTTCATAGAACATTCGTGAGACATGTTTCTCGTAGGGGGTGCAGCTGGGGGTGACACAGTATGTGTAAATGTGGCCTTTAAAAAATAGGTTGTATACTTTGCTGAACCTCATACTGCATCATCTCCACTGCACCCGCGACCTGAACTATTTCCTGTGAATGTTCTTTGAATGTTAGGAAAACAACGTTATGCGAACGTTCCCGAAAATAACTCCCGGCGATTTTTCTGTGAACGTTTTGAAAATACTGCATGCGAACGTTCTGTCAACGTTCTGAAAACAACGGATCATGGACGTTCTGCAAACATCCTGCAAACGTTCTGCGAACGTTCTGGCACTGGCCGCTTAGTGATTTCTGCTGCCTTGTGTGGAAACGAGGTAAACAACAGAGAATAAAGAACGTTCTGAAAACAATGCCCCACTGCTGGTTACCAGGGCTCATCACAGCATCTTTTCCAACTTTCTTTTAAGGCCATGCACTGATGAATAAAGATCGAGCCTTAACACATTGTACAAGTCCTTTAAGAAGAACATTGAGCATGTCTAAGCTGCTCAATGCTGCTACACTTTCAATTTGTTCATCTTTACTTTTCTTTAACATTTCTCTTATTCATTTTCTCTAAAATGTTCTATATATTTCTTTAATCTTTCTACTTATGGCTGTCAGAAATATCTTACATCTCTCAAACTCTTAAACTGCTATAATGATTCCCACATTCACAGCAGGAGCCTTTCACACTTCTGTCCTGATAACGTAATATATGAAGGGTGTCTCTTGGATCCTCGCTACGCTGCACAGTCCGCCTGCTGTCTTATAATTGATCAAGACCCCCATTAATCTCAATCACTTTGTCGTCCTGCAGGGACGGTAGCTGAGGGGAGCTGTCTCCCCTAGTGTGGATCAGGCCTTAATCAGGGGCTTGTTAACCCAGAGCCAGTTTAACCAGCGTAGGAGCTTCACTGCAGGGGGGCTGTAGTCAGAGGTCCGACTGGGCTCCAGTGAAGATCCAGGGATCATCACTGGTGGATCTCTGAGTGGTGGAGGAAGATCAACCGTTGAATGGGCCTGACAGAAATTCTACTTTCAAGAGGGACATTTTCATTTACTGTTGCCAGTTCCACCTCTGACAAACCGTTTGATACACTGATAATATTTTAGTCTCTATAAAGTAAAAAAGAAATTGAAAAAAGAGCCTCATAGTGTTGATTCCATCACAGTCATTTAGCAGACGCTTTTTATCCAAAGCGACTTACAATTCAGAGTCCATCACATTTCTACACCGTAGGCACAGCTACGGGAGCAATTTTGGGGTTAAGTGTCTTGCGCAAGGACACATCGACATGCGACTAGAGCCGGAGATTGAACCGCCGACCCTCTGATTGAAAGACGGCCCTGCTATCCACTTAGCCACAGTCGCCCACTGTGTCTTCAGAATGTCTACAGAATGCTGTTTTTTCACCAGGCAGCAGTTCATAACAACGATATCAAAAACTATCACATAAGGCAAAGCAAACAGTCACATTTGAAAAAATGCAACCAGCAAATGTTTGGCATTTCTGCTTGAAAAATGCGGATTCTTTTTTTTGATTGATACATGAATTAATCGACTAATTGTTGCTCTGATTCTGCACATAATTGGCCCCTTATTTGTGTTCTCGCCCCCTGTTACCTTCACCTTCTTTTAGTGGTGGATTTCAGAGCCGTGCTAGTAGCGAGAGGACCTTTTTTTAAAAGCAGCATATCACTTTAAATTGATTTTCACTTTACGGCATCACACATCCAGAAGTTGTGTTTCCTGCTGCAGGAGGACACAGTCATGGGCCCTTTTGCTTTGGACTGTGGGGGAAGATTGAAAATTAAATCAAAAGGAAGAAGCGCTACTGGGCGCACAACGGGATGCTCCACATGCTTTTGGGGGGATTTCCGCTTGCCGCTAGCACGGCTCTGAAAAACTACCACTGAAGTGAGTCGTATGCACGTGGAAGTTAAAGTTGAGCACAGAACTTAAAAATGTATTGGAAAGAGCAGAAATCAATGTGATGTTGTAGTTTTATTTCCCCTGCTCCGTCGTGCAAACTTTCCCTGCTCGGTTTGTGTGCTGTTCTAGCGTCACAGATCTATCAGAGGCTTGATTAGACTTAAGGGTGCCAGCTCTCTGCGCCACCTCACCCCCACTCAAGATTCAGATTAAGAAACCGGAGTACCAATGCTACTACAGCGGGAAGGGGGGGGCACTCTACCAGCATTGCCAATGACCTACTTTGACTAAGTGAGTGAGAGCAGTGTGTGCCACATGCAGTGGCATCCTCCAGGCGGGATGACTTTGAACTCCCTCCCAGCTGAACCCAAAGATCTGTGTCAGCGTCAGCATTGTAATATCTAATGAACCACAGCTCTCATATCCTCACCGCTCGGAATTAAGAGATTTTTTTTTTCTTTTTTTCCCCTCACACGCTGATAAGAGGAACTCTGCAAAGCAGCTGATATATAGCAGCGTCTTTCATTAGTGCTCTGTGATTACAGCTCATTGGCAGGAGGATGCCGCCCCTCCACATATTGCCCTGGGATCAGAATCCAGTCATTACTTATTCATGGTATTCACGCGCAGTCCTAATCATATTTATTCACATATTCATTTATCTGCCCCCTATAGTACCAAATGACTCTCAGGCTGACCTCTCAAATTGTGTTATTAATCTTAAAAAATGAATATGCGGTAGATTGCCGAAAGGCACGAACCAGTTCACAGCTAATTGTGGACTCAAACAGCAATCTCCTTTGTCCAGGTGCTTTTACAAAGGTATAGACCCAACCTTTTTAAAAGAGCCTCATTAGTGCTCATTAAGCCTCACTTCTAACCATACACAAGGCTTCGCAGGGGATCTATGAGCCCACGTGTTTCATGTATTCGCAGAAAATATCGGAATCAAAATCTCAGCTGTGGATTTCTCTGAACAGACATGAACGTTTCATCGTTTAGAGCTTGAACATCCGTAAGACGTGTTGAGCTGCAGAAAGCCTTCTGGGAGTGAATCTAGTTAACAGCTTAGAAATGAAAGAGACTGTAGACATGCACTACTTGTCTTTTCAATACTTTTTATTGATAGACCACATTTGGTCTTTACTCAGATTGCTTTTCAGCTTTTTTTTACTTGTAGGGAAAGTAATGTGTTTGCTGTAATAGAGAGGTGTGTGGTGTGTGGATTGTACCCACCTCACTATCCTGTACAACATTTTACAAAGAAAATGAATGTTGACCAAATTGTGATTTTGAGTCTCTTTTTCTAGCACAGTGTAAACAGTCTGCAGAAGGAGCCACGGTCAAACATGAATCTACGGTCATTTATGTTGTTTGGTGAATGTCCCACGGAGGACGACGAGCTGTGACAGCGTATGTTGTCTGACAGTTGTTGTTGAATTGTGTCCTTCACCAGGTTGTTGATCTACGGTCAGTACTGCAGCCACATGGAGAACGCCCAGAAGACACTGGATGAGCTAATAGCAACACGAGAGGACGTCAAGATTAAAGTAGAGGTAATGACCTCCATCACTCACCACAAACAGATGACAACTCAAGGATTTGGTGCATATTTGTGAAGAGAATACATCACAGTGCCGGCAGTAAACACATCTGTCTGCTTATGAGGATTGACTGACAAAATGACACCTGACAGACACATTCGAAGCCACAAGACGATGCAAAGACTTTCAACAGAATGCGACATCGACGTATTATTTCTTTCAGTCATTTTACCAAAGAGAAAATACCAAACTCAAAGTGATGGTTAGATTTTTTTTGTCTGTGGTATATGTGATAATAAACTCAATATTTTTAGGTTGTGATGTTTGGTATCACATGGATAAATAAAGCACGGTGTAGATTTAATTTAATTGATTAATCAAGAAACAAACAACAGACTAATTAATAGGGAAAATAGCCACGACATGCACCCCTGTTAGTCATTAAGACATCATCAATGTGGTAAACTACATATACTATTACAACTATATAACAATTTGTTTTTAACAAAGTGTGGATTACTTTTCAGTGCTGTCACTCTGCACAATGAGGTAAATGGAGACAGCAACCACGTTTCATTGGCAATTATGCAAATGTCTGCAATGAGATTCTATAGAATCGGAAATCTCTTACAAAATCATTACACATTAGTATGAAAGTCTAACTATTGAATAAATGATGACATTGAATAACTAATGAATTAAATAAATCCATAAATGTGGTCCAAATTTGCCGGGGTCATGCACACATTTCATTAAATTCAGAAGGGCAAATAATGTAATTTGCAAATATGCTGCCAGAGATGTTGAGTTCATAATATTTTGTTAGACTGAACTCAACATTATCTCATCTCCATTGGCGAGTTTATACTGTTCAGAGCAGGGAGTTTGTAGCGACTGCCTTCGAGAGGTTGTGTTAAATGTACTCGAGTTCAGAGAAAAAGTTGTATCGCATATATGATTTGAATCTGGAAGACATACTGTACAGTCCATTTCAGCTGCATGTCATTCTATTATATTTGTGCGCTACTATTGTTCTCTGATCTTCTTTAGAATAAAATGAAGTGATTAAAGAGGAAGCCTACTGCACGTCTGAAATAGTAGGCTTAAGGCTAATCAGCAGTTAGCACGGCCAGAACAAAAATGGCTCTTGGAGCTGTCGACAAAAAACAATTGACGTGATTACAGACTGAGTAGTTGGCAGGGAGATACGCTATCTGAAAATACTCGAGCTTTGTAACGGGGTCAAACAGCTTCTCGCTATCTTTTTATACACAATGAGCTTGTTTGTAAAGATGGATAGGCTGTCCCTTTACAGAAGCACCTACACAAACCGGGAGGGAAACCTGTAAGATGATGCTAACTAAAGACTGTTTCTTTAGGAGCCAGTGCAGAATTAATAGAAATGTGTGAAATGAATCAGAGGCATGCAGGGTAATTACGTCACAAATAGCTGGAACGACCAGAGCTTTTGTTTCCCCCGACGGAATAAACTGGTCTCCTTATTGCTAATGGAATGCCCCGTGAATGTGTGGAAGCAATCGCAGCAATACAACAAAACCCAATGAATAATTAAACAATGAATGAATGCTTGTTAGTAGGAAATGTTCAATGTGGCATTATGCAATGTGTTATGTGATAACCGCGTGTTGTTCAACAGGAATGCACTTTGAAAGTGCAGGAAGGGAAGTTCAAGCTGCAGGATCTTCTGGTGGTTCCCATGCAGAGGGTGCTGAAGTATCACCTACTACTGAAGGTAGGAGGCATCACACGACTGCAGCAGTCCATCTTTGAAAGCCCTCCAGCTCTCTGAATGTCCGCGGTCGGATGTTGGTCATGTCTTAACGAAGCACATTCTTCATCACTTTGACTGCAGCAGATGGAATGCAAATTGCTATTTCACACTTCATACTTTCCATCTTTTAAATATCAAACACTCACCCCCCCCATTAGGCTCAAAAGGTGGCTCTGAAATGTTGATTCTACATGGAAGGTGTTGCAGTCAGCTTGGATTCACAGCGGTTACAGTGGCCCAGTTTTCCTGCGACAACAAAAGTATCAAAACATTAAACAAAATCTCCTTTTTTAAACTACTTCTGCAGCAGTATCTAGTTGCCTCTTCATCATACTGTAGCTACAGAGGTCCGTCGGAAGTTGCTTATCTCACAATTTATTGGTAAAGCAGTGATTGTCAATTTTCATCCAGGTTTTTAATGGACTGGCTACAAGCATTGTGGGTTGAAGAGTCAAATCTAGTCACAATCAGCACCTGAATTGCAGGCCTCCTGTAAATAGCACCATGGTGAAAGTTGTATTTTGTTGAGGTTTTGCCACAGAGATGATTTCTGCTGTAACTTGGGCTGGTGCTAAATAATTATCCTGCATCGAGCCCGTCTATACCTGACATTGAGCTTTGTCTGGCGACGGTTCTGTCATCACTTCATGTTCGTGTTCACTTCACTTCTTTGTATTTTTATATCAAAATCCAACCATCCTTTCTTCCTGTGAAACTAAATATGACGTGTGCATTTGTGTTGATCTCATTTATAGACTTGAATCATTTTAGAAGTTTTTATTGGACCAACAGCAGATTATTTTAAATCATTGCATCAGGTCAAGTGCTTCATTTATCAATCTCTTAATTAGTTGATTGATGGAAGATTCATTTAATTTAAATGGCTAATTAACAATTTTTAGTAATTATCAAAATAATAATGCCAAACATTTGTAAGATTTCTGCTTGTCAAACAGCCCATTTCCCAACAAACAGAATGATTTTAGGTTTTAACTGTTGGTTAGGAGAAATAATGAGCTACGGGTATAATCATTAGTTGCAGCCCTGCACTGAAGCCCTAATATGCAAATGTATTTAAGCACAATGTCTGACCGCTCGCATCACAGCCAATAAATGTCTCCCTGGAGCTCTCCTCCTGGTGTGCTAAACTAGCTGGCCACTGTAATATTCCCCATGATTAATTGACTTTGCATCTCAATTATGGACGAGCATATGAGTTGATGATGCAGTGCATAATGGACTGGGATGGAGGCGAGTGTTTGCTTGAGGTGATTGTGGGACGACGCAGAGAGTGCTGCAAATTGTCTATTAGTTTGAATCAAACCCCTGCAGAAGTCTCAAGCAAGGCGCTGAGGTCAAGTCAACGGCACACTAATCCAATTAAACACACCCCGTTTCACTGCTTCCAACAGCTTTGCAGTGACACACCGCTGCATGCTGTGGCCTTTGGGCATTTCAGACTGACAAGTCCCGTTTTTGTGTGCGCGTGGGCCCAGTCATGCACATCCCCAGTTGATGCTGTATAGATATCATCACAGTAGCGGTTCCCTATTTAGTACGGTGTGAATACACGGCTCCGTTCATTTTTTATGTACCATAGCTGCACTCTCAATAAAGTGAATTCAGCACAGAGGTAATTCTCCTCAAGCAAGGGTTTGCATACTTGCATTATTTTTATGAACCCATGTGATCATTCATATCTTTCATCTAAAGCTTTATGGGCCGTCCAGCAGCGCGCTGTCAGTGGCCAGTTTCGCTTGTGCAAAAGTAACAGACCATGGTATGACAAAAGATCTGTTGAGTCAGCAGGTCACTTAGATAGAAAAAAAATGGAAGGTAATTAAGGTCAAATAGGGCCCAATAGCATTACTTTCATCTTGGTTGGTGCTGCTGGTGGTGGGGAGCCAGTGAGGGCTGCTATCCTTCTCGCTGCACTAATAACTCTTACTGATTGTTCGGGGTGGCTGCACAGTGGGGGTTGAACTGGGGGGGGATAGTATCCTAAGTGTAGAAACACAGGAACGACAGTGCATTTGATTTGTCACAGCAGGGAAGGCACATGCAATGTATTGTAATTACATTTGTCCTTTAACTGTCATGATGAGTCAACATATGTCATTCCAAAATAGGAAAAGGGGGAAAAAAGCTGGTGAAAGTTAAAGATGCTACATTCTGTTAAGCCTCAGTTCATAAGTCAAACAGAAATAAAAAATAAAAAAATACGGTAATTTGTTTATTTATGTGTCATATATGATTTTTTTGGACACTGCTGATGAATCTGCCAACTGGTTGGACAGCTTGGTGACATTTCATTTGTATTCACCCCCAATAAGCTAGTGGAGGAGGCAGGAGGCAGACAATCACAGATCAAAAACAATGTAACATATTTCTTATCGATTGGCTTTGTGGAGGAAGAACATGATTTGCAGGGGACAGCATGTTTACTGTTATCTTGTTTATCATAAAGGACAGTCAGACCTGGAGGCTAGATGTCTCCAGCGTCCTTGTGTATCTCAGTTTCATGTACATTGCCGTTGATGGTGTTTAGGTGCAACTTATTCTCAGCCACAACAGTGTCCATACATACATACATTCCAATAAATGTGTTTCTGTGTGTTTCAGACAACATAATGATAATACTAATCTTCCTCCACAGGAACTTTTGACTCATTCAGCGGACCGACCAGAGAGACAACAACTCAAGGAGGCTCTGGAGGCTATGCAGGTGTGTTTGTTCACGGGTGAATTTTAAGAACTATTACCTAATAACTCTGCAGTGCTCCGAGCCAAAGCTGTAGTATATTGTTTCATACAGCCACTGTGTCTCAAAGGACTGTAAATCTACAATGATATGACAGGTGTCAGAAGGAATGTTGGAAGAACGTTTGCCTTGCTCTCTCTCGCTCTCAGGACCTGGCCATGTACATCAACGAAGTCAAGAGGGACAATGAGACTCTGAAGAAAATCAGCGAATTCCAAAGTTCAATAGAAAATCTTGTAAGTACTGTCAAGTCCTCCGTCACTTCTTTTTCATGCAGAGGGATTTTTTTTCAAGATTGTCTGACAAGTTTGAGGGCTTTGAAAACTTATGTTCCGAATTAGCTTCGTACCACGGGTGATGGGATGCTGCACGGGGATGCATTTATCTGGCAATAAGAACAATACCGGCTATATATTGGTCATATATTGGTTATGAGCAATTTCTGTATTGTATCTGCACTCTTTTCACTGATTTGAAGTGGGAGGGGTTGCTTAAAGGTAAAATCTGCTATTTCCCTGGCAAGGAATAGCTTGACAAGAACAAATAATGCTTATTTATTTCCTTGAAAAGAGTTGATGAGAAGAAGAATATCGCTCTTTTGTGGTTCTCTGCAAGCTAAATATCAAGCAGCTGGTTAGCACAAAGACTGGAAACGGCGAGCAAAAAGGTTTTAAAATCTCAAAACCTTTCTAAAGCATATAACTAAAACATTCTATCTTGTTTCAGTAAAAAACGTCAAGTTGCTGTGTTACTACGTGTGCCGGACCATGTTTTTTTGACAGAAGCAGCAACCAGCTGAGTGTCTCTGCCTGGCATTTCGTTACCTTTTGGACAAATCCAGGATAGCTATTTCCCCATGCTAACAGTTTTATGCTAAGCTAAGCTTAGCGTCTGCTGGTTGTAGCATCACATTTAATGGACAGATATGAGAGTTGGATCGGTTTCTCATCCTTCACCAAAATGTCAACTATTGCTTAAAAAGCACAATCACTAGGATTTCCCCAGACTAGATTAAAGATAATCATCACTTTTGACCCACTAGAAATGTGTGGCAGTGTCAGTATCTGCAGAGACCCAGCCCTCTGCCTCTTTTTTTCTTTACATTGTGTTCGGGAGTTTCTTGGCTTCAGGCTCTCTAAAATATGAAGTGGCCAGTTGCCAGATCGCAAGCATCCATCCAAGAGGGAGCTGTGAAAGTGGCGGACACAGCGCCTAAAAAGATGCAAAGGGAGAGGCGCCAAGGGGACAAAGCTGGTTCCAAAACCAGACTCAATCTGGAGTTTGCTTTCACCCGCTGGCGGGCACCCTCACCCTCAGTGACCCGGGCAGGAGGGGCCAACTTTGAATGTTTGCAAACAGCAACCACCAAATCCTGCTCACTGTGCCTTTATTGTTGTAGTAGAAGATCAGAAATGTGAAAGCACATTCTCAGGTGCACCCTGCTTTTTGGATTAGGAATTGTCTTCATGCCATCAGTTCAATTAAACTCCACCACATAACCATTCAGTAAATAAGATAATATATAATAAAAAAAACCAATTTGTGTCATTTATAATCCAATGTTCCGGCTTCTATTGTCTTTTTTGATGCTAGATTTGACATCTTTGCAGAAGTCATTTTTTATGTATAAAAACTAATACACCGGCACTAATCTTATCACCGGGCTGGAATTCAAAGTTTGTCAGTGTGATTAGTCACCGAGCATCACAGAGCAGTAACCCATTCTTGATAAAGCCCATATTTTCTCTCCTCTGCTTGGAACACTGGCATCATCCTGTCATGATCCTCCAGTAACATAATGTCCCCAATACATCATTTAGTCCTGCAGAACATTAACAAAAGAAGTTATGTACTTTGCAGACTGAAGTTTAATTCCTAACTGCACTCTCTCATTTTATCAGTCACTATGTTCACCTTTCAATTCCACTCCTCTTCTGTTGTTTCTTACTGAGGGGGAAATTGGTCACTGGGTTCATTGTGGCATTGTGCCACAGATCCAGCAAACAACTCGAAATTAGAATCAAGAAGACGGAAAAGTAACCGAACAGCCTCTGAATAGTTTCCCAGCTTGTACCATTTATTACATATCTATTTAGATTCTCTCTGAAATTCAAGTGAAGCTGAATTATTCATGTTCTCTCATTACATTTAGAAGTTATAGTATGCAGTGGACTGACATTCTGTGTGTCCATTTGACCGAAGCAGCAGGTGAAACTGGAGGAGTACGGGAGGCCAAAGATAGACGGAGAGCTGAAAGTCTGCTCCATCGTCAACCGAACAAAACAGGACCGGTGAGTCCCAACTCTACACAAAATACATGAGAACCAAAGTAGCCCAGTGCCAGCAATGACATATTCTCACAGCCGTGATAACAGTGAATGTGTGTGTGTGTGTCTTCAGGTATATATTCCTGTTTGATAAAGTGGTCATTGTCTGCAAGAGGAAAGGCTATAGCTATGAGCTCAAAGAGATTATTGAACTGCAGTCGTATAAAATGTCGGACGACCCCATGAACAACAGAGACGTGAAAAAGGTGAGAAGCATACTTTTACTTTGCATAGACTCAGCGCAGAACTATTCATAAAGGCAGCCCTCGCTAGTGCAGGTGATGAAACATTCCCCGAGTAATCATTACGAATGTTGCCCTTGAGCTAAACAACCTTGTTGATGGTAATTTCAGATACGCAACTTATGAGTAATGCATTGAAGTGTCAGATTTGCATTGCGCTTCCCCATGCTTGGAAAAACATCCATGTAAATGCGATGAAGGTCATTTAGGATTCATGTGTGTATCGTACTGCAGTCTAACATGCCTCTTTTTTGTTTGTTTTCAATCTGCATGTGTACGTCCATGTTTTGCATGTGTAACTGGGTCTTTCTCTGGTGTCTTTCTTTTTGCATGCTTACCAGTCGAGTGGAAAAATGGTAAGCTCAAGTGACCCCTTTATTTAACTCATCTTCTCATATTGGCCTGTGTTTTGGCTGTTGTGTTTTTTTTATGGGGGGGGTCGTGATTGCCCATGCACCCACCGGCTCTGCGACTGGCTCTCCAGCTTTTGGTCGGATACAACGCTAAAGCATGTGGAGCATCTTTTACTTCTGAATTAAATGTGACCATATGTACAGTGTGCTTTTGCACATATTTATTTGAAAACGCAGGAATCACAAGCTTCTGTTGTTGCCGTGCCCACATCTCTCTGCCATCTGTTCCTCACTCACGTTTCGTCTCCAGTGGTCCTACGGTTTCTACCTGATCCACCTGCAGGGGAAGCAGGGCTTCCAGTTCTTTTGTAAAACTGAGGAGACAAAGAGGAAGTGGATGGAGCAGTTTGAAATGGCCATGTGAGTACGATTGCATAGAAGGGTTTGTAACTTTCATGGAAATACATTGAGAAACCATCTCTAGATAGAATAACCAGATGGGAGTGTCTGTTTGTGGCTAATCCAGTAAATTAAACACCAGAATATCAAGCTTCTTCTTCATCACAAAGGCAAACAAACTGTCTGTTCCAATCGATTCCTCTTATTTGTTATTTACCTCCAGGTCCAACATCAAGCCAGAGAGAGCCACAGCCAATCAGCATAACTTCCAAATGCACACATTTGATAAGAACACCAACTGTCGAGCCTGCAAAATGCTCTTGAGGTAACAACCCTGATATGTCCCGTGCTGATGTGCATAACAGCACATTCATATTCTACAATTAATACATTCAGACTTTCCAAAGCGTGTAAGCAACAATGTTCAGCAGCACAATATTTAATATGAGTTATTTTTCACTGTTACTTGTACAATGCGGGCAGGACTTGTTGTGTAAAAAGATATTATATATACTCAGAAACATATCTTGTATATCCATGATTTATACTGTGGTGCAAGCAGCAGTCCGATTATATACTTAAATATAACATTGCAATACCACAAAGTAAACATTCTCCATTTCAGGGAAAGGTCCTGCATTGAAATGTTTACTCTCCAGAGATAATAGTAACTACAGCTGCCACACAAGGAAGCAGAAAATGGAAATAAATGAAAATTGAGTTTAGTACTTAGTATTTAGTAATACGTGTACTTGGTAACTTTCCACCACTGCTGTTATGCAACAGTAATATAGCGCTGTACATAAATAAAAGTAGTGTTTAGCTCAAACCTTAAAATGCGTCTCACGAGTGAAGAAGAACTAAAAGTGCTTAATTGAAGAGCAATTCCACCACATTCGGTGAGCAACACAAACTAAATCACAGAGGGAATTTGTTTTTGGGCTAGCGTAGACCATCATCAGTGTAAAACCAATCTTCATTCTACTAAATTTGACTGAGGCCGACGGATGCTATTTTGAAACATTTCCCTCCCCAGCACCAACCTCTTTTTGTCCCTCTCATGTGAGAGTGCTGCTCGACTGCAGCGGGGACAACCCGTGTCACTGAATCACCACTTTCACCTCTATTACAGTCAGCCGGCTAAACTCCGCTCAGTGTATTGAGCCACACATCTCACGGCCCGGCTGACCTAAATTCACAGAGCCAGTGGAAGCGGGGACCAGCGTTCTCACTCCCTGCTATAGCTGCTAATTACTGCTGCAGCCCCAACGGATCCCGTTGTGATTTATGGCACTTACTGTTGAACATGACAGCGTGCGAGGCATGCAACGTTACAGTATCTGCAGCAAATACAGTGCTGCTCTCCAGCCAGTCGATTTTGTGATTTCGAAAGGATCACACAGTGGAAACGATGGAGCGTGTGCCACTGCAGGCCGATAGTAACAAGCAGCAGCTCCCCTTGTGTGTTGTACTTACGAGAGGTTAATTTGTGTCTGAGACATTTCCATTTTGCATTTCTGATGTATGTGTGTGTGTGTGTGTGTGTGTGTCCTCTAGGGGCATCTTCTATCAGGGTTACTACTGCTCTCGCTGTGAAACAGGAGCACACAAAGAGTGTCTGGAAGTCATCACCATCTGTAAAATCAGTAAGTGTCTTTTCTAATCTTCAAGTAGAAACACGGATACAGGTTCACCTTTGGAAGGGTCGATGTCTGGGCTGAGCAAATGTTTGGATGAAATTGTTAATCAATGTTGCGTGATAGACATCATTGACGGTTGTGATGTTGTTGTTTTTTGACCAAATTAATAATGATTGTGAAATTTCATTACTTCCACAAGTGTAAACTTGCATCCTGCTTGTGGGCTTCTTTGTCCAACAGGAACATGGGGGGTGGGGTTCCTGTGGGACAGTGGAATTTTTCCATTTTGTAGCTGGGCGTCGGGAGGAATTACCTGTCCATCATTTTACATGGCCCCGCTTTTTCAGCTGAAGTAGCCTTGATTATTTAGACCAATTAATCTTTGGGCTTGTCAGCCTTCATGTTTAACAAAGCATATTAAAAAGAGGAACACGCAGCCCTCACACATATCATGAGAATTGTTATACTCAAAAGTTAGCTCAGACGCTATCCCTGACACTCACTCTTTCTTTTGTCTTGTTTCAGATCCTCTTGACTTGGTGAGTAGATCTTCCATTACTCAACATACTGTAGCAGCATTAATATCTCCCTCTAATTGCCATTTTCCCTGATGTTGCGTTGATTATGAAATCACACAAGTACGATACAGGTTTGTAATAGTATTGTTGATCAAGTATCTGCTTCTCTTTTAAAGGAACCTGGAATGTCATCAGGTAAGATCACTTCCTGTCACCTAAACATGATAGAAAACACTTCTATCTGAGGCTGGATATTCTGTCAGCTGTCATGTTACAAGTTTGTTATAGAGACAGATGTTATTGAACTGCACAGTTCTCTACTGCCATCTGGTGGCCAGATCCACTACACGTGAACCACAGCTACATTATCAACCACGCAGAGTGCATATGTAAATAGAGATACTACATGCACAACAGGTTAATTGAAATTCAAAAACATGAAGACCTTTGAGATAAGAGAGATCATAATTGTTCTACAGTATTTTGAAATAAAAAGCAGTACACAGTGGTCGGTCCGGAAAGGGTGAGGCAGTTTACAAATACAAAGTTGCTCTTTGTAAGATTGTTTTTTACTCTTTTGGAGCATTTTTTTGTACTTGAAAGTGGACAGATAAAGGGACACCATGCAATGAAAATCCTGGACCAGATTTGCGTCCTTGATGTTGTGGTTATATTATATATCTTAGAACACTGCATCGCTCAGTGGGAAAGATCTTGATGCCAAATCAGTCCTGCCTTTATCAGCTTAAATCACTATGTGAAGCCTAAGAAGGAACCACAGTGAGCAGCACTCTGTCCAGACAAAGTTAGATGAAACCTCTCTTCCTCTTCTGTCCCTTGCTATCAGCTTACATCTAGTGAGACTCACTGCAAACATTGGATTGTGTTTCCAGGTCCCAAGATGGTGGCAGTGAGGAACTACCACGGCACACCGGCCCCTATAGGCAAGGCGGCGCTCTCTTTTCAAACAGGGGATTTTATCGAGCTGCTGAAGGGAGATCCTGACACCATGTGGTGGGAGGTAAAGCAGTCAATCTCTTCCATTTGACAACACTTAATATGTGAATATGAAGACAGCTGGCTCTGTACTCCAGCACATTGAGAACGTATGCCATTGGTTTTGAAATTAATCAATGAGTGCTGACCTTCAGCTTTAAAGATGTTAAGAGTTGATCACATCATTACTTGCTGAGCAGTGAAGGAGTCTTAGCCGTTTGCACCGTGTGGGATGTGTATAAAAAAAGTACACTGTGCTTTTTACATCTCATTGTTTAATCCTTACAAAGGTTTTTTTCTAGGCTAGTGGGCAGGGACTTCCCTGAGTCTTGTAATCACTATGAAGTTGCCATGAAGTCAGTGCTAAGGCCAAGAAGTAAACCCTTGTAAAACCACAACTTCATCGTTTTTTTACACTTCCGTGTTTGTACAGATTAAACAAATGAGATGTAACGTGTTAATTGTTGAGCTTTAGTGGTGCTATATGTGGTGCTATTAGCTGTTTCCCCCTTATTTAACATTAATGCCACAGTGAGCTGGCTGGAGCCTTATATTGAGTGTACAGACATGAGAGGGGTATCGATCTTCCTTTTCTCAATCCCGGCAAAAAAGCAAAGCTCTTTTCCCGAAATGTCAAACTTTTCTTTAAAAGTCCGTCCAGGTCACGAGCAGGAACACCATGTGAGATCAGATAACCTGTGTTCACCCATTCACACACATGACACTATGACTGTGAATGTGAAGAGGAGACGACCGAACTATACTTTCTCCATTAAGCTTAATATCATCATTTACATTGTGATAAAAACCTACATAGACATAGATTTGCAGGAATTAGATTATTAGCTAAACCTCCTTTGCCTTCTTTAAAGTTGAAGCACACATGGTTGTTTTATGGGATTTTACATTTGTTTGGTAGGACAGACTTAAAACAGACAATATGGGGAATTAACAAATAACCAAGTTGAACCAGGGAGGTTGCAGGTTATCTTCCTTTAGAGCTGGAGTACAATTTCTTGTTATGTGTCAGCATATTTGGGCAATACAATTCAGATTCTCCTGAAAAAACAAATCAAATAAATAACTTACAGCAAACGGTACTTGCATGGCACCAGCTGACTTACCCATGGGAGTTCAGTTTCATTTGTTACGCATCTGTCGCACACTGTCACTCTGATATAGCAGGCACTAACGAGACAATCATTCTTCTGATTTATTAAAGCAGATGAAGACTTCTATGCATCTTTAACAATGATGTGACCCTCTCGAGGGCATTTGCTTCTGATTCAGCGGTTGCATTGGTCCCTCGGTTTGTTTCTGTTCATATGGCAACATTCAAGAGTGGTCCAAAAGCTGTGAACAAGTACTATGGGGGGGCAAGCTGTTCTGTCCATGGTCCGAAATATTACGATTTGCTCTAAAATGCTTCCTCTCTCTTTTCCTTCTTCAAAAATATTAAAATATCCCGTTTGAGAAATGGTGAGAAAGGCATGCTTCTAGGCCTAAGATATGATTCATATCAAGCAATGCACGAGCCAGTTGTTGTGGATGGTAGGGTTGATTGCGTTCTGACTGCAAACAAACCGCTTTAGAGTTTGCGTGTTTGCGTAGAAGCAAGCCCCCCCCCGGGCATCTCAGCCCGCTTGTTTTTCCCCGCAATCCGAGTGCGATTGACGGCCGAACTGGACAGATGTGTTCATCTTACTGTGGGTGCAACACCTAGCATCAGTGTGTCATGATGTAGTCGGTTAAAGCCAGCACTGTTTCTGATTATAGGACTTTTTTAATTTTTGTTTTCCAATCTTCTAATGCATTTGTTTGCATTATGTAAAAGACTTTTGATTGCCTCACTATTTGAAGTTCATGACAAATAAACATGCCTTGCCTGCTATCTTACAGGGAAAGCTGATACAAACACAAAAGAGCGGCTTCTTCCCCAGTTCATGTGTGAAACCCTGTTTGGACCCAAAGGTAAGTAATCCATGTACACTACGTATGCATTTGAAGAGACTCAATACAGTACAGATGGATTTCTGTGGGCCTTTTCCACTTCAGTGTACACTTTAAATGCTTTATTCTATTCATAAAGTACTTAATGTGCAGTGTCTTTTATTGGTTACAGCCCTTTCAGTCATTATCCAGCCGGCAGTCCTCAAGGGAATCAGACTACTATGGATATCCTTGGTAAGACCCTTAACTTCATCCTCATGCACACTATACTATATCTGCTATTGTCCTCAGGTCACTATCCTTTAATTACTTTCGATTTATTCATGTTAATTCTCTTATACTGTTCACTTCATACGCTTGTTCAATTAAAAATGAACTCACCACACACATGACGCATTAAAAAGATCAATTACTACATGGCTGTTTGGTGTCAACAATTTGTAAAGCCTTCACCGTGTCATTTGATTATGTAACTTTGTACTTGAAGGTGTCAGCATTTATTCTCTGCTCCTCTCTAGGTTTGCAGGGAACATGGAGCGCCAGCAGGCCGATAACCTTTTAAAATCCCACAGCAGTGGGACCTACCTTATCAGAGAGAGGACAGCTGAGGCGGAGAGGTTCGCCATCAGCATCAAGTGAGTGTTTCACATCTTACAGCAGACGGAGAATCTCACGGGGAAGGGTTTTTAATCCACATGTCATGGGGAATACAAATTCTCAAGGGATGCCCTAGTCAGCATTTTCCGAGCCTCTTTTCGCTCCGGCTAATTACCACCCGGTAATTGCTTTTTTTTTTTTTTTCTTAAATCCTGTTTTTTGTATGTATTTCCTCCGAGAGAATGCATCGTGATGATAAATGTCTGAGCTCTTACTGGAGCTGTCATTCTGAACAGTGATGTGCTGGGAGACATGCTTTTTCCACATTTGTCTTTAAGTCTTTAAGACAGGTGCAAAGTGGCTGTTGGGACCAGCCTTCAGACAAATCATTTAATATTTCCCACAGTCGGCCTCGGCTTGTGAACATTTCTTTATTTTGATCCGTTAGTCCTTCAGGTATACCACACAAATATTTCATGTCGACAGCAGCTGAACACATTACACCAAAGGCACATAAGAGGGAAAAAAATGCCAACAATGAGAAACAGAGACAGACAACATGTGTTTGGATAAAGTATTAAAGGTATAGTTCTGATTTTTCTTTATTTTACAGATTCAATGATGAAGTAAAACACATCAAAGTCATTGAAAAAGACAGCTGGATTCACATCACTGAAGCCAAGAAGTTTGAGAGTCTTTTGGTAAGTCATACCTTTAACTACAAACACAAAATACCCCCAAACAAAACAATGAAATTAGCTCAATCCTTTATTTGAATCCTTCTGTACTGTGTGTCATACCAGGAGCTGGTGGAGTACTATCAGGCCCATTCCCTGAAAGAAAGCTTCAAGCTGTTAGACACCACATTGCGATACCCCTACAAATCAAGAGAACGCTCTCTAACGCGGGCCAGCACACGCTCACCAGGTAAGCCTTCCACATATTCCTCTTCTCCAGCAGTTAGCCTGAGCCACAGACGCAAGGAGTGGAATGATTTTGAGGCTGGTGTCAAATATCAGCCGGTAGCAGTACATAGCCTGACCCTAGTAAATACTTGCCCTAACACTATATCAGTGCTGCAAGCAACACAATCTACTAGTCGCTCACTGACTCACAGTCAATAAGCGTTTCGACAGAGTAAAGTTAACCATGGACAAGCGTTTCATCAGGTATCATCATGGAGTGTGATTACACTGCTTCCTTTTTACCTCGCTGATGCAATTTTGTCTCATGAAAAAAGAGAACACTTCTGAATGTGTTGAGTGCACGTCCCTCCTTATTCAACATTTCCAAAGCCTAAGTTAAGTCATGTAAATTCAGCATTGTTTACATCCATGTTCACTGGCTTGCGGACTTCTTCTTCTCTGTCTTTGCTGTTGCATTGCTGCACATCTTGGCATTGTTCCCACCACCTGTTGATCAGTGGAATAGTGTGGCAGTCCACGCCATTGGCAGGACTGTGCATCACATCAACCCTCCCCTATGGGTGCATGAGCTTTGGGTAAGGCCCGAAAGAATTAGATCACGGATAAGAAGGAGACGACATGAATATCATTTGAAGGGTGGTTGAGCTCACCCCTAGAGAAAGGGGGAGGAGCTCAGACGTCTGGCAGGGAATTCTGAGCTGAACTGCTCCTATTTGGCGTCAGTTGAGTTGGTTCGGAAATCAGATTTTGATGACTCCAGGACACATCTCTGTGGCAGCATTCACGGCACATCCTGCTGGGAGGAGACCACCCGGCAGACCCAGAACACATAATCAATCTGGCCCCAGAACACCTCGGATTACCCCATGAAGGGCTGGAGGACATGGCTAGGGAGGAAGACATAAGGGCTTCTTTTGTTAGCCCGCTGCCATCGTGAGCCTGACCTGGATAGGCAGTAAAGAAAATGGATGGATGTTTGGCTCAGAGACTAATAGCACATTGTATTTCAACTTATTTATCTGCCTGCTTCTATCAATAGTTATCATAGAACTAATTAGACTCTAAAAATACGTTATAATGTGCAACTGCTGCTTACAAATGTAATCCCGTGCCATTTTAGCCGTGGATAGAGCAAGGAGGGGTAAGATGAATGTGACAGACTACCTCCCACTCTCTTTGTATTCACTGGTGCTCTCTTCCTTCCCAGGCCAGTGACTCCCTTAACTCATACAGAGAGGAATGGAGAAAGCCCAGAGGGGAACAGGGCAGCAAAAGAGACAAGCAGTGTGAAATAGATAAAGAGAGAAAGAACAAAAAAAAAAAGCGAACTTTGTCAGCTAACTCAGAGGCCTGTGCACTGGCTGTCTAAATTGGCAGCCCCTGTGCACAAGCTTGGGTCCTACATTGGTCTGCTTTTGTTTGATCTGCAGGAAGAACTGGCCTCTACGGACACATTGTTTCCCTCCTGTTTTGGCTGCATTTGGATATAAATGGAGATAATTGAGTCTTTGCTGGTGATGATGTGCTCTTGCTCTCTCCCTAAGTTCCCAAGTTCACTTTCTGTATTTCTGTGGCTGCACACTATGCTGTCTGCACCATTATGTACTGACAGTTTGCTAATGGAGTCCAGACGGACCTTGTCTGGGAGGCTCTACAGAGCTGTGCAAATGTACAGCAGGCAAAATATGCTGCGAAGAGCACATGGTGACCCATTTAAATTCAAGGTTCACGTATAAAAAGTCAGGCGTTCGTCATGTTCTCTGTAATTGTGCGCAATTTAGTTTGACTCAGTATTTCCCTGAAGTGATTATTGGGGTTGCATTCAGTCTGACTGTGTCTACATGCAACGTTAAAGTGACTACTGCCAAACACGGAAAACCACAATGATCCTGTTTACTATCCACTTTTTTCTTTAACAAATTGGTGTTTTTACTCACACCACTAAAGCTGTGACATCATGACAAGATCGAGAGAACAGAACCCTATCTCTATGAGACAGACAACTGACATTTGCTCCTTTTGAACTCTGCTTCTCTGGCTCCAGCTCTGCATTTCCAGCTTTATTTCCTCGTCTTTCTCTTCTCCTCTCAGCAGCCACCTGCGCCTCCTACAACTTCTCCTTCCTCAGTCCGCAGGGCCTCAACTTCTCTTCTCAAAGTTCAGCTCCCTTTTGGTCAGGTACTCGCTTTTTCCTTTTTTTTATTGCTCCCGTTGTCCACGTGCACCTCGATGACTGTAATTTTCATAATCTCGATCTCATTACTGCTTCTCTATGGCGCTCTCTTCATTAACTACAACATTTCAGTTCTTCCCGGGATGACACTACCTCATTAAATCACGAAAAGAAAACCAATTTCCTCTCTCATGATGAAACAGATTGTCCTTTCCCATCGAGCTCATTTGTCATTGTGTGACTCCAGCGTGTCTTGTTAAACTCACCATCTTCGTAATGATCATTCTTCACAACTAATTATTACAAGGATGTCTAAGTGTGACCTTTCACCTCTGTCGAGGTTCTGACAATGTGACTGAGCTCCCATTGCTTCCACTTTCACAGTGTTCACTCCTCAGGTGGTCAGCACAGCAGTGGCCAGGTATAACTTTGCTGCACGAGACATGAGAGAGCTGTCGCTGCGTGAAGGAGACAATGTCAAAATCTACAGCAAGATCGGCGGAGACCAGGGCTGGTGGAAAGGAGAGACCAACGGACGAGTGAGTAAATCACAAAAGTCTGCTCATTGATCGATGGTAAACGGTGTCGTGATAACAATGGACCCCGACTGAACATCCCTCACAGAAAGAGAACGATTCTGAGTGTTACCAGATCCCTGTGGCAGCATGTGCACAAGGCAAAGCGAGACCTTGTTATGCACAACACTGATGTAGTGTTTGTGGGCACCCGACTGACTGAAAGTAACAATTAAACTAAGGAAGCAAATTCAATACAATATTGATATCATGATATGAGACTAGATATTGAATTAGATTTGTATATCCTAATATTGTATTGACATAAGTTTAGTATTGTCCTGGTTTTAAAGGCTTTTTAAGGCTGCATTTCAGTTAACTGATGATTTTTTTCAAGCTGTTTTATAATTTACCGTTGCTCCACTCAGTCCACATTACTGATGATTTGTTTTTCAGTCAAAAATCTCACTTTGTAATTGTGTTGTGAAACCACCATGTTGCGATATTTTATTTCCCCCTTATCGCTCAGCCCTAAATTAAACCATTGGTATTATAAAAACAGGTGGTTGTAATAGAAAAGTTAAAGCATGGCTGCTGGGAAATATGCCAGTTTCATAGGCTGGCAGTAACACCTGCAGTGATCTCTGATCTTTTTATTCTTTTTACTTGTTTTGTTGCTGTTGCTGTGGATCCAGAGTAAGTGTTAATTATTGTGTTGTCGCACAGATAATCTGGGTTGTATTTTGATGTGCAGTCTGGTGTTGAGGTGCTGTAGCCGTCACATTTTGATTATATTATAGCATGTCACAATATAGTTTTTACTCAAGGACCATCGATGTGCCTACTCTGTGCACATATCTATATTGATTGTACAGGATTCATTTCTGGAACAAAAACATTTGACTTAAAAACTGCATATCTGGGTCAATATGCTCAGATCAGAGACACGTTGTGCATGTCAGTTAGACCCCATCTGTTAAAATGCAGAATGTGTTAACCAGTCTACTTCTGAGGATTCTCTGGCTCGCATTGATCTATATCGTAGATCCTTCACCCTGTAAGCTGTTGCTGTTGAGTTCATCCCGGCACAGTCCTGAAGATTTATTTTCACGCCGCTTTGCCCTGCCTGGGCCTTTCTTATGTCCACACTTGTGACATATAACAGCCGCTCTGGATTTTTTTCTTCAGCATGAAGCAGTCAGTGAGTGAAAAAATGTCCGTCTGTGTACTGGCTGCCAGGTCGGCTACTTTCTCCCTTTGGACCTTCATCCCAGCTGCGAAAGCTGAGCTAGTGCTTACCCCGCAGGCCACTTGCCACTTTTGTGCTCGCTTGCCTTCGGTGGAGCAGTAGCCACGAGCGCTGCTTCGTGATAAAGGTGGCGGGGAACGCCAGCTGCGCAGACCATCGGGATACCAGGGTGAACTGGATATCTCAACCTGCAACCTCCTCCCAGATGAGCCCTTCACCAGAGTCCAGGGGCACACAAAGAGGGGGTTTCATGCAGTCCCTCCGCTGATACAAAGACTGGCATCCACCCTGCTTCCGAAGGTCACTTTCTAAGGCAAGCGTAAACCCACATGGACCTCAGATCGAGGTTTACGCTTGCTTTACTGACCGCTCGTAGCAGTGTGCTTGTTCAGGTGGCTCGAGGTTTATGCCATGAACAATAATGTCATCTTCAGCAGAAAAAGCAGCCCTGACCACAGAGCTGACCGGGCTTCTGGGGAAAGAAGCAATTTTCCACGTCCCTCCTGGAGAGAAATCGAGGGTTCTATTCCCGCAACAACAGAGAAAAATTAGGCTGATTTTGAACCTCTGTTTGGTCTCTGTTCAAAAGATGCATTATGAAGGGGCCTGTTAATATGCTGACAATCAGGAATGTGTGTGTCCTGCCGATTAGTTCACTTCTATCGACCTGACCGATGTCTATTTACACATTCCTTTCATCCCCATGCGCCGAAAAGGTCCTGCGTTTCTTCTTCCAGGGAACAACTTGGAGTACAATACCGGCACCATCGACTACCATTCCCCTCCGAGTTTCCCCAAGTGTACGGAAACAGCGCCTGAGCTATTACGCAGAAAAGGGATCCTAATCGTGTTCTACTTACCCGAGGTTCACACTGGACGCAGAAGTGCTGCGAAGCGCGCCGCCGTGTCAATAGTAGCCTGGCTGTTCACACCAGTAGTGCAATTCTCTGCGCCAGTCAACAAGCGATTGTGCTCCTCTGCTGATGTCTATTCAGCTAATCTCTGTCTCTCAGTCTGCTTGTGTGTGTGTCATTTTCAGAATGAGATCATTTATATGATATGTAATATATCATTCAAATAGTTTTGTCATCTGGTCTTTTCTCCACGTAATATTGATATAAACTAACGCTCCGTCACAACGGCTGTGTGCCGCCTTCAGACGTGGCGGCTGGCATGGAGTCTCCGCAGGGCCTCCGGGCGCACTCCACGAGAGCTGTATCCTTTACCCATGGCACTCCTCAGAGGCAGACATCTGCATCCGTGCCCTTTTCAATGGCGTGCCTCTAATCTGATCATCACAGATTACTGGTACTCTTAATGGTACAGAACTGACTTCCCCACTCTTCTGCAGCAGCAGTGCTGTGTGGAGAGTGACGCCATTTTTTTTCCCCATGAAGGGCTGACACCCGATAGTGACAGCTCTTAAAGGGCGAAGCCTATACGGAATAGAACCGTAGTTATGCATTGTACCTCAGTGTGTAGGCGTAGCCCTCTAAGATGTGTGAGCCCTTTTGGCTCAACCTGCACCGGCGTTCGCACGGCTGTTATACGTCAAAAGTTTGGACATAAGGGAAGCCTGTGCAGGGAAAAGAATCTTCATGACTGCACATGCGTGCTGGGATGATGAGCTACAGCTCAATGCAGGGCTACGAATGTACTCATAGAATCTGGAGTTACAATAACTAATTTGTAATTTGGCCATCATCATCAGAAAAATCCACCCAGCCACTTGAAAGGTCACTTTACTCACCACCAGACAAACACCAAGGAGCCCACACAGCAGCACACCTTCTCACACCAAACCTCAATAGGATCTGATCTCAATGCTGGCACAATCAAGACAGCAAGAATGCTTTTTTAAAGTCAGCACCATGGTCCAATGTGGTTATTCAGATACTGTTTACAGATACACTTCACACTAGCTATAAATGGAGGTCTCAGTTTTGCCTTTTTTGTTTTGAGCATCTGGTGATTCAGCAATGGTCAACTTTTCTTTTTTACAGATTTGATTTGTTGATGTTGTATCACCTAAATCCTTGCTTACCCGAATCAGAACATGTGGACTTTGAGGAGTGAATTCTTCTCCATAAATATAATTCTCATGCTCTATAAATACCAACACGTAGGGTACAGTGTTGCCTAGCAACAGCAGGAGTAGTGTTCTTCACGTATTTTTTTAGAACAGGGCTGTTACATCTGAGCCGTCCACTTATCAGGAAATAATGCACATCCTCTGGGTGCCTAGAGTAGAGTGTTCAGAGTGGACTTAGTCTAACTGTTAGGCATGGTATCAGATTGTATTCATGCTGCACATACAATGGATTCACTGCTACCAGACATTGATCTTCCTGCACGTGCAGCTGAATAAAAGGATTCTATTAACATCTTGTTTGAATTGACACACTATAATCTTTCTTTATGTTTCAGATTGGATGGTTTCCCTCAACGTACGTGGATGAAGAAGGAGTTCAGTGAGGCTTGGATGTCTGCTGAACTGCTCCCTTTAAATCAGGAACCATCTTCTATCTGCTGCTCTCAGCGGAGATTTCTCACTAACTCTCCAGGAAAATAACACAAGGAAAGAAAAAAGAACATTTTTTGTTGTTTCTGCTGGGTACTCATTTTTTCAATGAGTGTTTCTGCCATGTTTCTCTATCTTGAATTATGCATCAGCTTTGCTTCTGTTTGTACATTTTTTTATGTGGCAGGGTGTCCTGTTTAAGTGCTGTACAGGTAGAGGGAAGACATGGCTTGCTGTTAGGCTCTGTGTGCTCTGCAGAGGCTTTATTGAACCGAGGACACAGAAGAAACTGACCGTGGATCGCTTGAAGAAGGCTCCCCTTTGTTGCAGGTCCATGCGAGGTGAAATAATTGTACAGTATAGATAATTTATTGAATAGAGATTATTATCATTACTAATGATTATTGTGGGGAAGTTGATTTTAGCAGCAGCAAGAAATCAGATAAGAAAAACTAAAATAAAGGAAAAAAAAAAGACAGATGCTCTGTTTTAATGTTGCGAGATTTTGCCTTAGTTGTCATGGTTATGCCTTGTGGACTGACACCAGTGGAGGGAAGCGACTTTGTTGACTGGTTTTACTTCTCCATGTATGCATGTGCCCATGTGCGGCCCACACAAACAACACACTCAGACCAATGTAGAGTATGGTGCCTTTGAAGAATGGTCGTTGCTTATACTGAACCTCAACATCAGCCAGTACAGAACACTGCCGTCACCAAAAAGACAGTTCGTCCACGTCCAGAGGACTTCACCGAGAAGGGGAGAGGCACTTATACTGAACACCGGGGACGGCTTGCCTCCCGAGACCTAGAAAACAACACGGGGGAAGCATTTAACTTATTTTTACCGATGATTGGATGGACTCACAGAGACAGTCGGGCGCTTTTATAGCCAACAACACATGCACTGTTCACGTCAATCTTGGCATCACGAGACAATGGGTGCAATCAGCTGGATGCAAAAGGGAAACATCACGACATTCCACTGGACAACCACTTCACACTTTGAAATCTTGGGTTTATTGTATGATTTCTATTGTTTTTGCACAAAACAAAGGTGTTTTTATGTTGCAAGAACTGGACCGTTTATCATTTGAATCCAAATTCAGCAATGTTTTAATGTCTGCATGGAGTTTGTTAAAATTGTTAGGATTTTTGTACTTTGCCTTATTTTTTACAGATTGTCAGGTGACTGGATCCCCCCCCCCCCATGTTAATCATTTTCCATGTATGTAATATGGCTGGTGAAAATTAAAACAGTGTCAGAAGACTTTTAATTTGATGGAAAGTTGATGTGCTGATTAACATGACTCGACAAGAGAAGTACTTCATCATTTTGTGATTTTATTTTGTTGGCGGTGCAATGCTCAGTGTTTCCATTTACTTCCAGTCATTTCCTAATACCATGAATACAGATTAATAGACTAGTTATTAGGCCCGTCAGCTTTAAAAGGTTATTTAAAATTGATATTTCAACTCCTGTCAATACATCCTCAGAGAAAAACAAGCACTTAATTATCTACATACTTTTGAATGGTTGAGTATTTCCAATTGCAATCTATCATGGTACAAATATTTGTTTAAGATGCTCTACAGCAGGGGTGTCAAACTCCTCTTCACTCTGGGCCACATCAGCATCACCGTCGCCCTCAAAGGGCCGGTTGTAAATGTAAGACGGTGTAAATGTAACCTCTCCTAACATATTGTAAAATAACTCTCTCTGCATTTGATTATTGTTTATTCAAGTGTGAAAATATTGTACATGCAGTTATATAAATGTAAAAATATATTTAAGCACATTTCTGTTATTATAACTTAAATCCTTTTAATTTAGGATTAAGGAACCCACATTACTCTATCAAAGATTAAACTATTAAAGACAAATATCAAACAAGTTATTACATTAACTTTGTTCAAAGCTTAAAATCCTTTCAACGGTGCGTTTGCACAATCCCACGTGAAGTATTTCATGTGTTTTAAAGCCACGTTTAAAGTAGTCTTCAATGTACTCACAATACATTTCAAGTGTACAGTAACCAGCCAAAGAGCTGCTTCTATGACTGTGTGTTTAAGTATCTCATCATTATGACTTTCTATCTCATAACTTCGACTTTCTATCTCATAAGTTTGACTTTCTATCCCATAATTTCGACTATGGGGATATTTTTATTATCAAGTTTAACTTTTTATTATTTTTTGCTGGCGGATTCACGTGATGCACCACATGAGATGGCGGGCCTTGAGTTTGACACCCTTTCTCTACAATGACAATCAAAAACATGTTGAATGATGTGTTGTGAGAGAAAACTTCCAAAGGTCAAAATGTAGTATGTTCAAAAAAGGCATAGTATGATAATTTGAAAAAAGTCTTAAGAAAGTAATAAAACAGTACGTCGAAAAATTAAGAAAAAAGTCATAGAATAATATGTCTTACAATTAATATAAAGTCATTGTATAGTATCTCTGAAAAAAAAGGTATAAAAAGTGTTGCTGGGATGAGAATACGTCTGGATACCCTCCTGAGTCAGCTGCCCCCCACGGCCCGACCCCGGAGAATCGGAAGAAAATGGATAGATGTATGGATGGATCTCCAAAAAGAGGCACACAATATCATAGTATCGTAAGTCAAAGAACCAAAAGTCGTCTTCTAGTATTTGAAAAAAGGCAATACAAACAATTCTTGAAAATATCACAGTATAATCTGTCTTAAATGTGAAAGCATAGTGTGTCAAAAAAGGTCATAGTATAATTAGTCTTTAAAAAGTATAAAAAGTCAAAGCATAGTTTTTGAAAAAAGGTCATAGAATAGTCACAATATAGTATGTCAAAAAGGTCATGAAATAGTATGAACAATAAAGTAAAAGAATAATTGTGTATTATGTTGAAAAAGTTTAGTAGAAGTGTATATAAAAGTCATAGAATAGTATGTCGAAAAAAGTGACAAAAAGTCATAATATACTATGCTGAATAAGGTGAAAAACGTCTTCGTATACTATGCCGAAAACAGTGATGAAAAGACATACCATAGTAAGTCAAAAAGTTTACAGAATAGTATCTCTAAAAAAGTTTTTTAAAAAGTCGTAGTATATTATGTGGAAAGAAGTGAAAAGAAGTCGTAGTATAGCAGGTCGAAAAAAGTGATAAAAATCATAGTATAGTGTGACGAACCTCCAGCTCCCATACACTAGGTGTCCCTGTTGTGCATGTGATTGTCTGTCGCAGGTGCTGAATCACATCAGCTGTACGATCTGCTCCGGCCTTAAGTACTCCTTCATTCTACTGCCCTGGTCTCTGGGGGAAGGTCCTTTGTGTCACCGGCATGACACAGTGGCTCTGGTTTATGTTTGAGTTCTGTTCCCTTTTACACACTACCACACATCTATACATACACTTCACTATTGATAACTGATACTAACACGTTACATTGTTTTACTTATGTTTGTTGAAAATAAATTGCTTATATTATGGTATGTCATGAAAAAGTCATAGTATAGTTTACCATAAAAATCATATATAATAAAATTTCATAACATATATCTGGTATAGCACCTTTTAGTATAAAACTGAATCAAATTGTATGTTATAATTAATATCATAGAATACTATGCCATAGCAAAATGTCATGAATAAGTGACATTATAGTGTCATAAAATATGTCTTTAAAATGTCACATGAAATCAATAGTTTAATATGTCATAAATGTTTAAAGAAAATGTTTCAGTATGTATGTCATTTCTTTATAATTTTATCTCATTAGACATTTGTGTGAAATAGTCATAGAAATCTTGAGTTATGGCCAACAACATGTTTTCTAAGGTCACAGTGACCATTGCCCAACAGTCAGTTCATCCTTGAGCCCATGTATATGTCTTCCAGATGTCAGCAGACTCCACCTACGCAGGTGTTCCTGAGACCACACCCAATCACTGTGGTCTGAGTTGGTGTGGATAGTGACATTTGTTTAAATAGAGGTGATCTGTTTTGTGTAAAGGACGTAAAAAAATAAAATGTAATAAAAAAGAACCAGAGACAATTTGTAAAATGCCCTTTACGATAAGATACAATCTGTTGATATTATATTTACAATATACTCGTTATTATTATATCAGTTTTGTTTTTATATACAGTATTCAAATTGCTAATCCACTGATGCAGAGTAGGAGTCCTTTCTTTTTTAAAAGCAGAGGATTCAGTACATGAACAGATTTGATACTGTGCATGACTCATCTCTGAACTTTTTAATCCCCCTTTCAAGCTGCCATGTTGTTTTAGTTTTTACCTTGAACACGAGAAACTGACAGATGTGAGAGAAACTATTGTTGTCGTGGAGCAAATGATAACTGCCTGTCCCTCTCAATGAGCTTTTCACCATGACGCCATCTTTATTTGAAGAGAGTTGAACTCCTGTATGTCACAGATATGGAGAAGGATTGTGGTTTGAAGTGGCTCTCTGTCTCTTGCACACAACACTGTCCTCCCACGCTGACACTGCTCCCATTTCAACATCTACTTTGAATGCACTGTTTTCAACTGCATGTAAACTGTTACAACTGTTTATATGCAAAAGGAGAAGTCAGCTGCGGAACATCAGATCTGGAGAAGCTCCGCATTCCGCATTCTACATTCTGCTTTCTGCATTCTACATTTTGCTTTCTGCATTCTGCTTTCTGCATTCTACTTTCTGCTTTCTGCATTCTGCTTTCTGC